CGGCCAGTCGCAGATTTTTCGCAGTGCGGTCATCCAAGCATCGAAAGAAGAGATCCAAAACCCAATTCTCCAGATCCCAGGATTTTTGAAGTTCTTTAAGTCCGAGGAGACAGAGTTTTGCCCTGTGTTCGGCGAGCTTGCGAGCTGTGCCGGTGACTCGTCCAAAATGAATCGTATGAATACATAGAGCAGAGAAGGTATGCGTGATACTAGTCAGATGAGACGTTAGCTGTGTGGAGTCATTATTGCGAGAAAGGGAGGGGGGATCTCACAGGTGGACCAAACCATGCTGTACTAAATTCTCCGACAGCATATCTTCGAGTATTCGAGTACTTCTTGTCGCTGCATCCAAGGCGAGATTTCCTTCCGGACTCATCGATGCACTTGGAGGTTGCAAAAATATCGGTCGGTACAGGAGGACATACAGATTACTGCGCATTTGTCAGAAAAATAGGTCTCTTTCGTAGGGGCTGGGTGGATTGGGTACTTGTAAGCCATATGCAGCATCCCGACGAGATAGGTGACCTGTCGGCTAGGAGACGATTGAAAATGCATCTCCTGTGGCAAATTCGATTCCCACTCGACCAATTGCTGGTGAAGGGCTGGGCGCTGCGGATTGTCTAGCTTTGATCGGCCTGGCAGATATTGACTGGTGATAACCTCCCGTACTTCGCGAAGAGTAAGTAAGATGTCTCTCTTGTTTGTCGCACTGGATTGGTACTAACATAATTTTGCAAGCTGAGCCATTCCGATCACATAATTGACATGTGCGGTCGGCGGTTTTCGAAAGACTTCGGAGAATTCGGTAGTATCGAGTTCCTCAAAGTCAGATGGTTCCAGCTCTGCGGCTTCACAATCTTCATCGCGAATACGAGATGGCAAACCCAAGGCGGCAGATGTTTGTTGATCGCGTACCTTTTGCGAGGCTGTCAATGCGAAATTCCATCGCGACACAGCATGATATATGACTTACGTATAGAGCCCACCATATCCTCTTCCATATTTTCTGGTCGCGAGAGCTCAGAAATGATAATTTTGACCTGTATCGTCAGCTTGTGTATTGAGAACGACACCATTGAGGGTGAAAACTCACATTACATGCATTCCCTTTTTTTGCGCCAAGTCCGTGGCAGCCCCAAGCCAAAAGCGCACATCTCGCTCTTCAGTCGGACCTCCGCGCCAGAAGCTCAGGAGGAATAGCGACTGTAATTTAACAATCGTGTCGGTTTCCCATCCGACATCGTAAATCTCTTTCGCGCGCTGATAGAATACCCCCTTGGCTTGATAGCGATCGGTGAATCCAATTGTTTTCAAGGTGAGGTCTGAGCACAGACTTACCCCAACAAACAGCATGCCTTGGAGTAACAAAGGCGATATCGTATTCTCTTGATACACATTTTGGACCTGCGGGCGGTCCAGAATGGGGAAGCAAGGGTGAAACCACTCAAAGTATGCTTGGATAAGCACTTCACATGCTGTAGGGGCTGGAAAGACCAGGGCACTCTCGCGAATAAGCCGTTCCTGCAGGGATTTCCGCTGCAATCCAAGTGAGGTATCTCCGGATTCCTCGGGGCTGCAAACTTCTGGAATAGAGTAATGCAGCCGGCCCTTTTGGATCCCGCAGGCATACCCTTTGTCGGGCGATCGTCTTCCCTCATCTACCACACATGTCAGAGGGCTCGATTCGCCAAGGAACACCGTTTTTTGAATAGCATTTTCAGCTGTAGATGGTCGCGCAGAGGGTTTGTAGAGACTTGAGTGGTTTTGCAGAGGTTCTGATTGCAGCGGCTGCCCCTCTGGCCCGCTCTCTTCTACGCGGGATGTTTCCGTAGTAGCCGAAGCCAAAGAGTTGTTCTTCTTTCGGCGAGGATACCTAAGGATCGATATATTGATATGCAATTCCAGGAAGTGGGCTAAATTGAATTGTGCTTACTTTCCACGTCGCGATACCCCCAGTTCACAGGTAAGATTCCATGCCGCACAGTTGCGACATGGTTGCATGTCGAGCACATTGCATCGCACGCGCCGAGAATTGCAGGCCAAGCAGGCCTTCTTTGCGCGCATTCGTGGTTTATCGGAAGTGACGCTCGCCATTATGATAATTGAGATAGGCTGCTTCCAAAATTTGTGGGGTAATTGGTTAACATAGCGCAGACCAGCAGGCTTATTTGACTCGGCTTTGCTCGGCTATTTCAAGTTGGACGGGGTGGGTTGAGTCGGCTATATGGGGTCTTCGGTTATATGTACTTGGCCCTGTATTTCCGAACTTTGCCACTCTCGAAAACTCCCAAGGTTATAGATAGCATATTGAATTTTTGGCCTGTCTTTTATTTGAAGCAGGAAATTTGCTGTCGGTTTAATACTTATTCGATCAGCTTAAGTTCACTGTAAATCACAATGACTCGGAGCTTCCAAGTTCTGCCCCGACTATCTGGCCACTTGCGATATATAACTATCGAGTCCCCGCAACTGCAGATCCAAACATGAAAGAACCACTTTAGGTACTACGGTCCTAGTAGTTACCACCTGGGCATCAACAATACTTCAAGTTCAGTTCCATAACAAAAGAACGCGAGTCAGATAAGTGTCAAAGATGACCTTTCATGTAAATTAGGTCCCTTCATATTTAAAATACTAAGGAGTTATTTATCCGAGTTTTTGCCTCTGCGCGCATACGAGACGCCCGTGTTGATCACAGCCAAAGCACGGAGCCAACCTTATTCGAAATGTTAACCCATAAAAAGTTCAAGGGTCTCGCCCCTGTAAAAGCGGTATCGACCCATCATCAGAGCCGGAGTTAATGTTTCAGTGAATCCCCCGGTGAAGGACCTGGAATGTAGGGATGGTTGTTGAGGATACAAGCCCTGTGGGAGGAATGCTGGATTGATATGGTACGCCAACATGTTGACCACTACTTAGAGAGCTTCTGGGTGAATTATCCGAGATTCACTTATTTGTCTGTCAATCTCTCATCACAGACTTGCAGAGGCCTACGTTAACCACACAAATCTTTGACCTCATATTCACTTCGCAGGCGTTGCATCATGCGCATTCAGTCCACTTGGCTGGGTGCTTTGGCTAGTTTGCCTTGTGTTCTCGCATCCTGGCCTCTGTATTACACTGAGACGGTGGTCCCTTACCGCAACGATGAGCCAAAAGTGAAGGTTGAAACACTTTACCAGTTTCCTGAAAACGGCTCTTGGGTCGACAACATCGTGCTGCGATCGAATGGAAATCTACTCCTCACTCGGCTAGATGTACCTGAAGTCTGGTCGGTCAACACTACAAGCGGAAACGCGACACTTGCCCATTCCTTTTCCAACGCCACGAGCTGCTTCGGTATCGCCGAAATTGAAGATGACGTATTCGCGGTAGTCGTAGGAAACTTCTCCACGACAACCTACCAGCCTACTGCAGGGTCATTTTCCGTTCAAAAGTTGGATTTTAACATCGACGCGGAGGAAGATGAGCGAGTATCGCAGGTCGCAGCGGTATCGCACATTGCTGCACTCCCCGAGGCACAAGCTCTGAACGGAATGACCTCGTTTACTAAAGAATCCCACCTTGTTTTGATCGCCGACAGCCCGAAGGGAGCTGTTTGGAAAGTCAACACCAAGACCGGTGACTATGAGATCGCCCTGAGCGACACAACAATGATGCCGGCGGAGGGACAAGCCTTGCCCTTGGGGATCAACGGATTGAAGTTGGTGGATGGATACATTTACTATTCGAGTACCACACGAATGGAGTTTTGTCGTGTCAAGGTCGATGAGGATGCCAATGCCGTTGGGGATTTTGAGGTCATCGCAAGTGGATTCTTGCCAGACAATATGGACGTGGCCCCGGATGGTACCGCCTATATCGCTACCGATCCCCAGAACTCTGTCGTTCGTATCACCCCCTATGGCCAGATCTCGTTGGTTGCTGGAGGCCAGCTTTCTACGCAAATTCCGGGTCCCACATCTTGCCGCCTGACAAGTGACCGCAAGACCCTCTACGTCGGAACAAGCGGAGGCCAAGTGGCACCTGTCTTGGGAACATTCAAGGAGCCCGGAAAGGTGGCTAAAATTACCCTGGAGTGATTTATTTCTAGCAGATTTGGACTCAAAATTGTCATTCTTGCCGTTGATGGATTTAATAGTTACATGTATGTGGATAATACTGGGAAGATATTGTTGCAAGATGGACAAATAATATTGATCTGGATTTATTGGAACCCCAAATGATCTTCTTTCTATACTCTGACTTTCCAAAAAAAATCTATGGCCTATAGTGATGAGGAAAGCGGAGTCAGTTCCACTATCCCATCTGAGCGACTGGTCTACATTGCATTTATTATTGCCTTCTTATCAGATCCTTATTTTTATTCCATGATTCTAACCATTTATTGACTTTTCAACCACTAAAGATCCGCCATTATAACTTATTTTGCCTGGCTGTCCTAGTCCAGCAAGCAGCCTACTCACCGCTGCAGATTCAAGTCATTCTGGTTGATAGAGTTGAGTCATAGCGATGAGGTATGCCTAACCTCGATCGATTGCTTCTAAAAATTGCTCCACCCCACCATGTATCCACAATGCTGTCTTATCATTGGAGAAATAGACAAAGGGGTGTGTGTGATTTAGCCCTGCAATTGACACGGCCCCCTACTCCGTACAGAAGAAAACATTCGAAGTGCTCAAGAAGTTGAATGATTTGCTCAATTTCCACAACACAAACTTAGGAAGTAGGAATTGGATCTTCGGCAAGTATCATCGGACGACATTCCGCCACCCCGTCCCTTGCCCGGCAATCCAGTGGCGCCATCGGCTGCGGTGGGGGACCGCCCCGGCTGTGAACTTCTCCGGACACCTCGGACATTTCCTCAACGGGTAATTTTTCTCGGAGTTAATCAGATAAAAAGTAAGGCGCTTGCTAGAAATTCCGGGGTATTTATAACGGCAACTGCTGCCTCTGTAGCTCCGGTCGTCTTTACTTTTAATCATTTCTCAGCACATACAATGGCAGCTAACACTCTTCGGAACATCATCGTCGTCGGAGGCTCGTTCGTCGGTCGCGTGAGTGGCATTGGAAAACCAACTGGACCATAACGCATTCTGACATCTGACACAGGAACAGCCCAGGAGCTCGCGAAAATAATCCCTCCAACCCACAGAGTAGGTTGAATTTCGATTTATTTCCTGTTGCAATGACCGGCATACTCACCGCAATACTAGGTCCTCCTAACCGAACCCCATAGCCACTTTCACCATCTTTTCACATTTGTGAGTTCGTCGAGAGACAATCCCACCGCTGGGTACTTACGGAGTTTTGCTAATCATCGCGGTAGCCCCGATTCGCCATTGTCCCCGGACAAGAGCACAAGGCCTTCATTCCTTACAGCGAGATCTTTTCTGGTGCACCAAATCCCGCCGCACATGGCGTTGTCCAGGCTCGTGTCCTATCAGTGAATTCGCAACATATCGAGCTTGACCGAGAATGGCAAGGAACCAAACAAATTCCTTTTGATTATGTTGTCTTGGCGACTGGCACTCGGCTCTCCAAGCCTGCAGCAATGGATAGCGATGAAAAATTGCCCTCGGTCGAGTACCTACAGAAACACCAGGCCGATGTCAAGAGATCAAAGTCAATCCTGATCGTTGGCGGGGGCGCTGTTGGCGTTCAAATGGCCACCGACTTGAAAGAGTACTACCCGGAGAAGGATGTCACTGTGGTACAGTCACGCCCGCGCGTGATGCCAAATTTCCACCCAAAGCTCCACGAGCTTGTTAAGCGACGATTTGATGAGCTTGGCATTCGATTGGTTACTGGGTCCCGGGTCGTCATCCCATCGGGGGGCTTTCCTAATGATGGAAACGCGTTCGATGTTCAATTAACAAATGGGACGACAGAATCCACTGAACTCGTGATCCTGGCGACCGGACAAACACCGAATAATCAGATGGTCACTGGCCTAACACCTTCGACACCCGATGGTTCATCCGTGATCAACCCTGACAACGGATTCCTTCGAATTCGGCCAACGTTGCAGCTCCTGGATGAAAAATATTCAAATATATTTGCTGTTGGTGACATCGCCGACACAGGCGCACAAAAGGCCGCCAGACCAGGCTCGGCACAAGCTGCAGTGGTTGCAAAGAACATCCTGTCTTTAATTGAGGGCAAAAATGCGGAAGATACCTTCGTCAAGGGTCCGGGGGCGATTCATCTTACTTTAGGAATGGTGAGTAACTCAGTGCAGTTGGATATCTGCTTTCAGTTTGCTCATCCCCGTGCTAATATGGCTGTTGCAGAAATATAACGTCATTTTCCGCAATCCCAATACCGCAGAGGGCACGACAGAACCTTGGATCAATGAGAAGCAAGAGTAGGCTGTCCCTTTCCAAGTGTAAACCACTCAAATGCTAACGAGATTTCCAGTGGCCAAGAAGATATGAATGTGGAAGCCATGTGGGGACGGCTGGGTATTACAGTCGATAATGCTCGCCAGTATCACCTCTAAAATATGAAGATAGGAATAAGTCTCCAAAGGGGCAAGGGTTAGGGTTTTCTTGAATAGATCATTAGATTCAATTGCATTAGAGTCTCAAGGATATAAAATATCCAGCTTATTCAATAATAAAAATGCATTTCTAGAGCATTCTGTCCCTTGCTAATTTGAAGCCATCACTCTCGGGGTCAACCAGGTCGTAGAGATCTGCCAATTCTATGAACAGCCGGCATAGATGGATTGAGATATTAATCTTCCTCGGAACCTGCGTTGACCACGTGTAACCAGCTTCGGCAATTTCCGCGGACAGACGCTCTCCTTCAGGATCATCGATGAGGAAATCCACCAATGCAGGAAGCTCTTCCATTTCCGTTGTGAAAGGAATAGAGTGAGCCCACAATCATCATGCCATTCCTGAAACCGAGTTTGCGTGAGCACCACCGCTCTTCGCGATAAAAGATGATCAATCGTGTGCTCATACTATTTCTGTCGAGGTCAAAAAGATGGCGGTAACTGAGACATGTATCTTCAGGTTCGTAATTGGACGGGCCAATAACTCTTTCCATATCTTTACGAGCACTACGGTATCCTTCATATTCGCGCTGATGGTACGTGCCCATTTGAACATCAAACATGTCTTTGAATAGGGTGACTCGTTTTGGGTCAAAGTTCTTGCCCTTAAATCCAAAATGCCGACCTGCATTGCGTGCTCTAAAATAGAAGCTGTGGAATAAGGGAGAAAAATCCATTGGTTGAAGGATGTGGCTATCAGGCAAAGAAAGCAAGAAGTTTTAAAAAAACCGGAGGCCATTTCTTCTTTGGGTTAGACTGCAATGTCAGCATATAAAGCTTCTCACCAGGAAGTACTGAGTGGTTCATATATTAGAGACCGAGCTCGTATCGAATAAACTGTACTATAAGATCGAAAAAAGAATCTAGAAATTTGGTCAGAAAACCGGCAAAGACCTTCTCCGACAGTTTCTGAGCCTCACTGAAGCTTAGGCCTCTTGGCTCTTTAAAATAAGCATTTGGCGGGCGGCCGACCACAACTCACCCGACATCTCACACCACGCAGAATTCATGCCTTCGCGGGCGATCATTTATTGACTGCAGATTTGGGGACTTCTGACTACATTGCATTTATTATGTCTGATAAAGTGAGGGTCAAAGATAACAAAAAACATCAGATAGTCAGTCCTAACTCTGTTCAATGCTTATTTATCTCCGCGGGGGTGTGTCAAACCGATCAGCTGTGGGTCGGTCGGGGGGTAAGATGGATTTTTTTTGTCTGGATGCGCCCCTTATCACAAAGTGGAACAGCTAGAGAGTTAGGTGCATCTGACTGAAACTTACATATGCAGGCGATTCCCCGTGCGAGATTCGTGAAAATATTTTGACGGTTATGAGATCTGAAGAATTTTCTGCGCCATGTCAGTGAATCATCAGAGCGACGAAACCCATGTGGCGGACTTCCCCAGCAAGAGCGAGGCTGTCATTATCGGAGAAGAGAAAGGCGATGATTCAGAAAATTTACACCATCGCAAGAAGTGGCAGAGTAATGTGACCATCGTCAGCTGTGTAAGTTTTGCAACACAGAAGATCAGGCCTTTATCGACATTCCTGCTAACGTCGACAACCTTAGTATATCGCAAACTTCAGTGACGGGTTTCAGAACAGCTTGGCAAATCCGACCAATGTTATTTTCAAAAAATTACTCGGGTCGGCTGGCTACTCTGCCGACATGAAAACGCGAATCAGTAACTCTTTGATTATCGGAGCGATTCTGGGCGTCGTTGTTTTAGGTTATACTTCCGACATGTTCTCTCGACGGTCTGGACTACTCTTCACCTCCTCGCTGGTGGTGATCGGTACATTGATGTCTACCGTTGCTCTCAGCGTGCATCCATCACACAATATGCTCTGGTATTTCGTCATAGCGCGCGGTATTGCAGGCTTTGGTGTTGGAGGTGAATATCCTCCAAGCGCGGCTGCAGGCATTGAGGAATCAGACACTGTATGTTCCCCTCTTATCTATTTTAACACCGAATATTTGTTGATTTTGAGTACCACAGATCATGAGAAAATACAGAGGGCCACTTTTTGTCTCCTTCACTACGCTCATGGCCACGCTTGCTGGTCCGATTCTGCAAATTATTTATCTCATTTGCTTGGTCGCGAGTGACAATAACCTTACGATCACTTTCCATGCGATATATTCGATTGCTACTATTATCCCTCTGATAATAATTGTACTCCGCATATTCATGACAGACTCCGTCTTATTCCATGACTCTAACCTCATAAAACAACGCCGATCGCCAAAACTATATCTCCTTCTCGCTCGTCGTTACTGGTGGCGCATTCTGACGACATCTCTCGCATTCTTCCTTTACGACTTCATCAACTTTCCGAACAGTATCATGTCAAGCACAATCATCGCATCCCTCGTCAAAGATAGCGATATCCGAAAAACCGCAATCTGGCAAGTCATCTTAGCGGTTCTTCCCGTACCAGGCGTCATGATTGGCGCCTGGCTCACCAATGCAATTGGCCGACGGAACACTGGAATCCTAGGTTTCGCGGGCTACATGGTCCTCGGTTTTATTATTGGAGGCACATATGAGAAGCTTTCGAAAAACATTGCTGCGTTTGTTGTCCTATACGGTCTCCTGCAGGCATTTGGACACATGGGACCAGGCGCAACAATTGGACTTATCTCCACTGAAGCCTTCCCTACAGCCATGCGAGGAATGTGCTACGGAATTGCGACTGCCTTTGGAAGAACTGGTGCCGCTGTTGGCACTGAGTGCTTTACCCCGTTACAGACTGCTGCTGGAAACAGTTCGACGTTCTACTTAGCGGGCGGCGTGGCTATTCTTGGTATCGCTGTCTATTGTCTCCTGCCAGAAAGCAGTAACCTCGATCTTGAAAAGGAGGATAGATCTTTGGAACAATACCTGGCCGAGAATGGATATTCTATCGGGCAAAATGAGAAAAGTTGAGCCGTGGTGTGTCATCTCTTTTGCCTGTGTTCGAAGTTAAAGGGAATGACAACACACGCTTAATCATCGACTTTTGCTGAAAATTTCGATATTTTACGCGGTCATGGACTCAGTCGTCATATGGACGATTAGAAAAATATAGATATGGATGGGTGGGAGCGCTTTCTGCATGACTGATAGATCTAGATTTTATATTATGTCTAATTTACAAGTTTATTTTACAGTGATAGATGGACATCTCGCTCGGTTTAGCGCGCAGGCTGGGCCTCATCCCAGGCAGTAGTAATCTTGCCCCAGTATTGTTCAGGATGAAGTCTCATATGGCCCACATGAGGCGAGCCTTCGAACATCTCCAGGTCAACCTTGTAGCCCTGGCTTTTCACCTTAGCAACAGCCTCTTCCAAATCCTCCCACCAGATGATCTCATCCTCCTTGGAGTAGAGGTAGAGTCTGTTAGTCTCGACCGGAGCAATATCATGATCGTTCATTACTCGAGTCGCCCAAACTCCTGAGGGCTCAGTGCCACGTAGTAATTCCCATGCATAATTTGCCCACAGGAACATCCACCACAGGCCTTGTGTGACTGCAAAGGGCCATGGGAAGTATTTTGATGTCCCGACAGCCATTGCTCTTGACCAACGGCCGACTTGGGATGCAAAGTCCAAGCTACCTGGCGTAGAATCACACACTAACAGCGCGTGGGGAAGCTTCTTGTCGCTGCCATGGCGTTGTTGATACGCAGTAAATGCGGCCGCGAGGAAGATGCCTCCGGTATTCGACATAGCATGCAGTAGGACTCGTTCCTCTCCATTGCCACTTCCGGTGGGCGTTGGGAATACCGTGTCAATCACGGGTAGCATTGCTTCAACCCGGGCGTCGAGGGGTTGATTAGATGCTTGAAAGGTGCGAGATAACACAACAATGATCCTGGCACGGGGAAATAGGTCATTATAGCCGTCGGAATATTTCGAGACGTGTTTCGGCATGCCGTCGCCCCACCCGAAGATAACGATAGTTGTTGGTTCATGAGCTAGTGCTGGTTTGGCCTTTTCGTTCCCATTCCGAAGGTATACCCGATCAGATATCGCGGTGAACCCGGGGAAAGGCAGTGGTTGTGGAGCCATTTTTGACAGGGGGGAAACGGATTCAGTGGGACTCGCTGCTCATGAACAACCTTCGAAAATATTTAGACTTGCGAAAGCGAAATGGTGATTCCGCGAGAATATGGGGTCGGGGATCTCCTTTACCTACTAATCCAGCATTATATACCAAAACGCGGCCCGAATGGTAGATAATCAGAAAATTCGAATTTGGAAGTTGATCCGAAGGGCCAGGCGCAAAGGGAGGGTTCGTTGGGAAAATGCAATCGAACTGGCCAGCATTCCGAGAATAGGTGGGTCGTTGGGAGAGAATAAGCGAATCAAAATGAATATTTCCATCTTGGCTTAACGTGCCTCGGTACAAATCCGATTCTTCTTTGACGCAAGTCACCGTGCGCGTCACGTGAATTTTAATGACAGAGGGGAAAAAGGACAACCACATAATTGGAATCAGAATAATTATTTTTAAATGATATCTCTGAAATTCAGGGTCAGTATTTGATTATTTCCTCCCTTTTAAGATTGGAATATAGTGTAATTTCCCATTCAAGTTGCCGTGTGCGCGTCGAGTCGCGTAAACCGATGACATAAGCAGCATCAAAAGAAAAAGAAAATAAACATTGGACTATTTTAATTGTATAGGATGCACATCAATTTGTTAAATAATAATGTGTGTCAATCGAACCTTGCATGTTTTCCTTCGTAGGGTGAGGAGTGGGCAACTATAGAGCCATTTGACAAGAGTAGTAAAAATGGTTCTCATTCCAAGCCTATTAAAGCTGCGTACATCCCGCACTTTGTATTGCTATGCATTTCATTCATTCAATTCACAATGACCCCAGTGCTTGAGAGGTTTTTATTTGTGATTCTTTCGGTTGCGTACTACCAAGTATAAGGGGTGTTAAGGCCCTGTGGGTGTCGCCAGCTCTGCGTAACTCATTGTCGCCTGCCGTAGCATATGTGTATGGCACCTGGGCTTCATTTGGAGTCAAGAAGAACTGGGATTGAAACACCTGGAGGATGGACATATTTGAGCGAATTCTTTTATCATGATGCCCACTTGAAAAATATTATTCATACTAGTAGATTCGGAACAGGTCCATGGGAGTTTTACACTATGTCTACGTCTCTTCGAGAAAGGATGTTGATACACATATTCGTAGTTTTTTCTTATTTTGTATATTGAGACACGTGGAGCTCATCTCTATCGCATAAGAGTTTGAAAGCTCAATGGACAATTTTGAAAAAATCGAGTATACCGTGACTGGTTCGTAGCGTATGCGTCTGGTTGTCTGTAGAGGTTTCACTACCCCACATAAACCCTTTGAGTAAGTATCAGAGGGAGCTGTTGATGCGAAAATGGAAATCTTGAGCTGTAAGATAGTAATGTCAACAATATCCAGCAAAAATGGAGATAAAAAACCATACTCGAGGCTAATTTCAGCTTTGACATGTCACGAGGTCCTGTCTCCCCTTCTTCAAGTCCATTGCAGTTTTTGCCTTCCTCAACAGTTCGCCATTTCCACAGAGGTGTAAAGCGATCTGGATTTTTCTCCAGCTGATTTTTGACGTACTAAAGGGAGAATTTTGTCAGAAATACCCTTCTGAATCGAGACAATTGATGTGAATGAGCGAACCTTGCCGAGAATCGGAAGGAACTTGAAGCCATGTCCACTGTAAAGTGTGAGTTAAGGTTGCCGCGGCCTATTTCAGGTGAATACTCACGAGCCACCCGTGCAGATAAATAACGAGTCAGAATACCCAGGTACATAATCAATGACAAACTAATCTGGATTAGCGGGTTGAGTTCATCTGAAGCCAAGAAAGGACATACCTCGTTGTCAATACTATCAGTGTACCAGCACAACTATTCTTATATCAGTCAAGTGAGATAGAGTCGAGGGAAGGAGAACACCAACACGACTGTCCGTGAACCCGATCTCGGTTAATTCAGGGAACAATCCACCTATCACTCGCTTCATTTGTTTCAGTCCATAAAGGGGCACGGTATTGATGGGATCCGGGCTGTATTTTGTCCGAGGAGTCGATATTTTCCTGGAAAATTGTTCAATGTTAGTTTGACTAAGCGTAGTATAATTTTTCCTTTCAATTTAAAGACGCACAAATCTTCTTGGGATGGGTGGTCTTGGAAGTTGGTAAACTGGATTGATGGAAAATTAGTATAAAATATCAGATTAAGGGTGGAAAGAGCGTCTATAATACCTTGCGAGCACGAAATCCGAATTTTAATCTGCCTTCCTTCGTGATAGGGAAGCCACCTCCTTCGTAAGCACTGTCGAGATTGTTAATCCTGTCTGAGCTTTGTTGGATATGGAATCTTACGAATCTCCTTCTCCTTCTAGGAACCGCCAGACTGGGAAGTTGTCTGGGTGAAATTTTGTGCGAAGATCCTGTCGATCGCTAGGGACATCGACGAACATCACTGTGCCCATTGTTGCTTCGACAGAGCGATGTGCATCTGGAATAATAGATGAGGACCAAGGACCGCCTATATGAAACAATTAGCATTATTTAGTGTCTCAAATAGCGGAAGAGCTCACAAGCAACGATAACCAGGTCTGCATTGTGGCGCAAGCCACCCTCAGTTTGAATACCGGTAACTCGCTTGCTGGAACCAGACTCGTCAACGATCAAACTTTTGATCTCGCCTTGAGGTCGACCAAGAATAAATTTCACTCCAGCCTTTAGGCAAAGATGGCGCGCATAAACGCAGGCCTAATAGAAATTAGCCCAAGGAAGATAGAAGAAGAACCGCGGCATTACCTTGTCTGCTAGAGTAATACCGGACCCTGCGTCGAGAAATCCGTTTGTACGACCGTCTCTGAACGTATCAAAGCGATGGTATTTCTTAGCCCAGTCGGGTCCTAACGAATTGACGCGTCGTTCATCACTGCCAGTGTTCTTTTTGATATGTTAGAACATGGAGCAAGGACTAGCCACACTTTTTGTTCATACCTTTACAAATTGCAGATCTCGGAAGGAAGGAGCAGTTTCGCCCATGACCCGAAGATTTTCAGAATAAAGATCAATCAATTTTGGCCCATCGGCTAAATGAAACACACCACAAAGAGTCAATAGCTCGTCCTCGGGAGTGAGTGGGTCGGGAAGTTCAGATGGATCGCTATTTTTGATGGCTTTATTCCACTCGAGCCAAATGTCTCTAGCTTCGAGAGCGAGATCTTGCGAGCTAAAACTGAGTTTAGCAATGAGATTCAGATTGATTGAGTTCATAACATACTGGCTTTTGCTGCCATATGTGGCGCGAAAGATTTTGTTTATGTCTGCAGAGGCTCCATCGCAGCCATTGGATGGGTTGTAGTGATTCTTTTCAAAGTCACATCTATCAAAGATAAAAGATAGTGACGTTCTTGTAGCCGCCTCGAGCGAGCCACAAGGCTGTACTTAGTCCGAACACACCGCCACCGACAATGATAAAACTGGATTCAGGGCTGCTCATTTTGTCTCAAGAGAGACTGTACTGACAAAATAAATTGAATGAAGATATTGCTCGATGCTCTGTGATTCCCACATATATTTCGAAGCAAACAGGTGATGTGCTTCATTTAACTGCACTTTAATTAAGACATTTGAATTCCAATGCCAGGACGGAATTGCCGCCATCGAGATGTGGATTTTAAAACCTTGTGTGTGGCCGGGCGGCATTTCCGTTATCTCAGCTAGCGTTGGCGATCGTTGGATGCGGGGTTGTCCAAAGGACAAAGAGACTCGCCCACTCAAATGATCCAGTCTGGTCGCACAAGCGGGGGTGCTTTAGTTTGGGTCGCGCATGGGAATTTCAGTTCGTTCGCGATATGATCCGTTGGTGCGGCATTTCCGTTTTTGTTGTTATTGATCGTGCATTCCACGATTTGATTGAAACACGCAAGGGACCTGCACCATATTTCATTGGTCTGGTAGACATCTTCACCAATTATATCAGTCTAGTCGAAGGATGCCAGTAGATTGCGGATCTGCCGCTCTGGTTAATTATCTGAAATTATATTCGTATCAAACTCCACAATTTTATCCATATGAGCCGGGGTTCAGGACCGTAAGACAGATTGTTATAAAGCCATGCCTGAGGATGCGGTCTAGTCTCACCTGCTTCGATGTACTGTGGTGCATCTAATTTCTTCAAGACTTCTTGAATCCCACCATAGTTCAATACTCAACTGCGCGAAGAGCTCCTACTGGCCCCAGCCGCATTAAATGGTCTCAGGCTCAAGATGGGTCTTCATGATTTTTTGAACAGGACTGCTCTGGAAAATACAATCTGCGCCAAGAGAGGTCATCTTCAGCAGAAACCTACTTCTTAGCTCTATGCTGTATGCGACCGCCGCTATCCCTTTGAGTAAGTGGACCTCTATTTGAGATGCCCATCTGCTTTGTTAACAGGGCGAACCCTTAGCATGGGACCAGGGCTCGGCCGCTTCTATTTCCTCGCTTTCAAGCTTCCAGGAACATTTTGGGATCAGCTCCACCTCTGGCGCTAATTCAACTAGAAACTTTGTATCTCTGGTATACATTGGAGATGCAGCTGGAGCTGCTCTATCCTTTTTTATCAACGACAAAGTCGGCCGTTTATGGTCCTATCGCATATACACCATTATTTGGATTATCGGGCAGATCGTTGCCATTTTTAGCCCTGGGTCATCCGGGCTGTATGCATCTCGAATCATTTCGGGTTTAGGAATAGGGGCCCTAAGCGTCACTGGTACTATTTCAATCGTCGAAATAGCCCCTGTTGAGATCCGTGGACTTCTGTCAGCCTGGTACTCAGTTTGCATGGGAATTGCGTTGATGACATCCACATTCTGTGTCTATGGCATGGAATTACATATTCCGAAAAGTCGCTTACAGTATCAGGTTGTATGGTTTTCGCCATGCATGTTTATGGCAATTTGGATTATAGCAAGTTTCATGCTTTGTGAGTCCCCGAGGTGGCTTATCATGTCTGGCAGGGACGAAGAGGCGCTTCAAACTCTTGTCAAGCTCCGACAACTATCAGAGGATCACCCACGAGTTCAGGAAGAGCTGCAAGATATGAAAGAATCTATCCGATCGCTCGAAGGAATTGATGATTCTCAGGACCAAAAATCATTTCAAACCACCAGAATTGCAAAAGAAACATTTACGCGACCGGCAAATCTACGACGTGTACAACAGGCTCTCATAATGTACGCACTGCCCCAAATTTCGGGCGGAAAAATTCCGTCACGAACTATTTTATTCCGATTTTGAAAGTTACAGGACTGGCAGGAAGCTCTACACACAATCTGTTCCTCAGCGGAATGTACACTGTCGCCAAGTTTGGCTTTAGCCTTTTAGCAATATTTTTATTTATCGATGCACTAGGGCGACGAAACTCACTATTTATCGGAATCACTCTTCAAAAGGCTTCTGATATATACCTCGCTGTCTATATAAAAGTGCAACAAGACCATGGTGCGTCTGAAGGTGCCAGTCAGGCAGGGCTTGCAGCCATATTCATACATGCCTTCGGATATTCGATAGGTAAGCAGACAAAAATGAAGAGTAGAGATATTGAAACTAATGAGGCTTTGACGAAGGACTCTTGACCCTCCCCTATGTCTTCGGTGGAGAGTTATGGCCTAACCGTATCCGCTCTTTTGGTGCAGCATTCTCGCAGACGTTTCACTGGTTGTTTCATTATGCGATGACATTTGCGCTGCCATCACTTTTAGCCAGAGCAGATAATTGGGGCGCATTTGTCTTCTTTGCTGCCTGGTGTGCCGCGGGATTGCTCTATGTCTACCTGCTGGTGCCTGAGATTGCTGGGCTTACAACAGAGCAGATTGATGATATATTCAGTGGGCCGTGGGTGGTTTCGGGCAGAGCATCAGGAGCACGGGCAACAGAGTCTATTCTCGAGGGCCAGGATATCGCCTATAAGTCGTAATATATTTACCACATCTTTTTCGATTCGAATTCCACAAGGATTTATCACTGAACTCAGATTACGGGCACGAGAGTCACCTCAATTCTCTCCCAAAGGATGAGTCGATGGGCAAGAAGGCGAGCGAGTGAAAGGGTTATGCCACGGTGTGATAGCTACTAGTAGTTAAACCTGTTTGATCTCAGCATCAAGTATGAATGTAATCGTATATTTTATAACAAACATGGAAGCCAATTATTTCATAGTCAAAATAGAATTGTTTGGTTCAAGGGCAGACAGGCCAATTAGATGACGCGATAAGTAAACTGAATCTGGAAATATCCAACAGACGAGTGCTTTCAACCTTACATGTTGAGGCTTTGGGAATGCCATTTCATAGCGAACAGGAGGCTCCGCCGAAACAGTGAAATCAGAAGAGCCCCCAAAAAAGAAAGGAAAATGAAACGCAAGAACACTTTCATATGACGTGTGTAAAAATCTAAATCCAAGAATCATCCGATGCAAAGTGTGGGGAAAACAGCCTCGTTGCACTCGGGGCAAGATTGCCGGTCTCACCTACTCCTTTACGGAGAAAGATAGTAAGGTCGGATCTTTCTAGGTGATCCAATCAACGAAGAATGCGGCAAGGCGCGATCGCGCGAACTGAAGTTTTGGCCTATCAAATTATTGATGTGGAGCCTTTGACAGGCGGAGGCGACTGATTGGGTTTTAGGATTGCCGTCCAATGACAGAATTGTTCGATAAGTGGAGTACGAATCGCGTCCTTTATGATAAAATAACATATGTATCAAGAGATTGCTGGATTTCATGATTCTTAAAAAGGAATCTCAGCTATTTCCATTGCATCGGCTGGCATATCCTTAAAATTGATTAGCCCGTACATGGGGTGGTATTTTATCTCTCAAGTTATCAGACAGCGTTGTACGGCCCCAAATGGCGTGTAGCAAGGGGGACTCCGCCCGTATTTCGGAGAGGGGAAAGCGGGCGAAGTCACTTGACTCCTGAGTATTTCGGTTCCTTTCAGGAGGGAAACATTCCGTCGCTTTGGAATTTGGCTAGAAAAATTGCACGATCATGCAGCAACCGTCGTCGCCAGAACTTATTTCTCCGGGCAGTAAATCTGGAAAGCCAAATGGCCTGCTAGCTGAGAACGATCCTGGCGGACAACGTCGAAGTACCAACGCCTGTGGGTGCTTTCCTTCGATTTGAAATATGGAGTACATTTCTAAGCTAATATTGGTCGGAAAAAGGTCGTCGATGCAAGCGCAGAAAGATAAAGTGCTTTTATCGGAGCGAGAGTAACAGTCGGTGTGTAATTTAAGCGAATTCACGAGGACTTGCTAAAAATAATATCTAGCAAATGTGTCGCGTGCTCGAAGTCACACTCCGGTATGACCCATATCTTACGTGCTTTTACATTTACTCTTAATTGATCTCGGAAACAGATTGCCTGTTTGACGTCCCACCTGATGGTGCTCTGAGGAGCCTTGCGTAAGCGTCCCAAAGACATTAACGTGGATCATTACTCAATACTAAATATTTTGTGCAGATATGTCGCAACTTTAGAAAGGCGAATAAAAAGCATGGAAAGGGAGTTGCGACTGAAAGGGGTAGAGGCGAAAGTGAATGAGAACCGGTACTATGAATCCACCTCGACATATCATCTGGGCCAAACCAGTATGCTAATGCGTTTCGTTCTAGCGATACTTTGAACCAAATCAATGACGAAAGAGGTGACAGGGGCTTCCAGGGGAGATCTCCAAGTATTGAGATCGATAGTCCCATTTCATCCCGCGAAGCTTGCACTAGAGGAAATTTTTCTTGTGGAGTCCCAATTGATTTGACAACTCATGGAAAGCACCTCCAACGTGACATTGCGGTTCTTGATATTATTCAGATTCAGAATTCATGTTCAGATATCAGTGAAAACCTCCCGCCACTCCCATCCGATGCAAGAGCTAGAGAGCTGGTTGACACGGTCTATTTCTATACCCAAGCTCGTTATTGCATAATTGACTGGGTTCAACTACGAGAGTGGCATCGGAATCGCGAAGAAATTGCTTACGCTACCACATCGGACCCATTGGATCTGCAAATCGGTAGATAACCATGACACTTGAAGTATATTGTTCGTCACTGACAGATATAGGCTCATTTTTCATTTGGATAATTTATGCCATTGGTGCTTGCTTAGTTCCAATCTCCGAAAGTTCGACAGAGGTAAGCTCGACCCTGCTCAGTTACATGACACCGCTAATACTGGAATCAAAGGAATACTTTTGTCGCGCTCGAATTTACATACCAATACTCATGTCTGCGCAGAACATGGATACGGTACAAGCCCTTCTATGCTTAGTACAATACTCATTTCGAGCTCAGGTAAGACATTTTGTGGCATACTCACTTCAAGACAAGCGTATTCTAACTTTTTACAGAATGATTCTCCATTATGGTGAGTGTTCCTAGCTGCTCAATCTCGATGCGCCTGTCGTTAACAGAGGAAGTAGGGATCTAGTAGGGATCGCTCTACGGCTCTGTGTCAAATTGAAATATCATCGAAAAATTATGCACCCATATAACGCCCAGAGCCTCAGTGCGTATAAGATGGAGCTTCAGAAGCGATTCTTCTGGTGTGCATACTGTTTTGATCGGTTTGTAAAATCATTCCTGGTGGTTTATGAAGAGCCAATGACATATCTCTGACTTTGACGTATGAAGGCTGGTGTCAATGTTGGCAAAGCTTCCATTTGGAATCAGAGACGTGGACATAGATGTCGAGGTACGTTAGATACGCATTCCAGTAAATTTGGTGCAGAAATTGACGAGAGATTCTAAAGCTGCCGGTTGATATCAACGACACCTGTATTGATGAGGAGGTAATTCGAAGTCTACAAGAGATGCAGATAAATGAGGACACAACTACTAGGAAAGGCATAACAACGGTCGGTCTATCAACTCAAATGCACAAATTACACTCAAACCATGCTGATGATGAGTAGATGACCGCTGCTCTGCATCACTTGCGAATATACCGCATCAGGTCTAGCATATTGTGAGAAAACACCCAAGAGATATTATCTACACCTGGGCAGAGCTGATAATATCATAGGACTGAATTCGCCGGCCCTAGTTCTCGTTTCCCTACACTAGAAGAGGTTCAAAGTACTCTTTGGGAACTAGATCAATGGCGACAGGACGCCCCGAAGAAAGACAAATCCAATCATTTTCCTCAGCAAAATGTAGATCGAATACATACAAACTATCTGCAAGCCGTTCTTCTGTTGATCAGACCCATTCTGGTAAATCGTCCGACAAATTTCGATTCGATAGGATTATGCGTCACATTTGCCGCAGATGCATGCGAGGTATGTCAAACTTCCCTGCACATGTCTTTTACTAATATGTTACAGAGCGCGAAATTATTGAGCTTGAATCCTTTGACTCTACCAGACCGTATCACGGTATACCATTGCTTCTTTGCGGGTATTACCCTGTTACAATGCCTTGCCATAAAGCCCGATTCATTGACCCCCAGAGGATCCCATAAAGCAATAAGCGCATGTTCAAGCGCGCTGGCTGTATACACACGGGTTTTACCCTCAGTTGCGCCATTTTTACGTCTCTTCGAGGATGTTGCAAATAAAATTGTCTGTGACCATCATGGCACCGAATTTAGTCCGAGCTCCGAGGTGCAGAGTTTGTTGAGTAGGATAATATCGAGCGATCCGTCTGAAATACCGAGGTTTGTGGAGAATCAACAAGGAAATGTCGTGATTGAGGTACTGACCCGGTAGTATACTGCAATCTCTATCCGAGTGGGACAATCAAGATGGTGTATTTTCATGGGCCGCCGCTGATCAAACAGAGAGTGAAACATTTGAGGTATTTTATTTCATTGGCAGTTCTATCACAAAGCTAATATTATTTCCAAAGCCAATACAATACGAGTCCATCCTGGGCGGGCAATCCTTGGTGGCACCACTCAACATGCCTCTTGATATTTCTCCTCTTTTACGTATCCGACACAGAAATGATGGACATATGGACGGCGAATTGGCTGAGTGGCATATCTACAGAATTTTGTGGAGGGTCCTCCCTATTATAAAAAGTGACACAAGACTAGGAACTATATAGCAATCTAACTTTCGAGTGCGTCGTGGAGTGATATCCAAATTGAGAGAATATTTGTCTTCTCGCCGCATGATTTGCCATCGAAACGTACGGTACACAAATTCACAAAACATTAAGATAGATGGAAGTCAAACTTATCCTGATTAAAGATCAGAATGAAGAATGAGTAGGTATCTGTATGCCGAAACAATATCCAAGTTTGACTGAGAACAGAATTGATATATCAATATTGCCCTTTATCTGGAGACTCGATATGAAGTAGATCATGAAGTTTATTGATTCCATCATTAGGACCCAATGAAATTTCTAGCTCTTTCACACACTGGCGTCCTTTTTTGGTAAGGCGGCATAGGGTCTGTCTGCAGTGCTGAAAACTTTCCGTTGATTCGATTAAATTCACAGCCCGAATCTTGATACTTTGATATTCCGTATTTCGAGAAGCTCTGTATTATCTGGATTTGCGTGAATGCTGTGAATTATTGGGAATTAAAATTTGCCCTCTGTCAAGTCCTCCATTGCTCCTTTTTGCTCGGCATAAATACCACTGCATAAATTCCTGTAGTCATCACGAATTTGGAATGTGATGCCCAATAGCACCGCATGCGCTGAGAAGTCCCTGTATTTTATCAGTTTATTGAGCTGCGAGAGGCGCTGGTCCTGGTAAGTCTCACAGCTATTTTCATGAACCTTTTACTGGGCTGCATTTATCCCGTGGAAATATCAGTTAAAAACCTGCAATACGGAATTCCCAGCCATAGTGACCAAATTCCATCTCAAGAATCGACCGCTTCATCCAATTGCGAAACGGTGCATAGATATTTGGCCGACTACAAGCTATGAAAACATTTTTAGATGGATCCTCGAGGTCAATCAAGTCTCGCACGACATCCCCATCTGACAGAGAAAGACCTAATTCCAAATACTAGATTCTTCCGGACCTGTCTGACGATGTTGGACCTACTCTCTTTGGCTTCACGTTGCCCAACAGCCCTGTTGCTGTCATCGCTTTCCATGAACATGTACACGCAATTTCTGATGAAGACGCACATAAAATGCTTGAATTTTGATGATTTCTCCAGGAGCAAGATACTTTACCGAAGGTGTATTCCTTGCGCCGAATGTTGATATAATAGAGGTATGTCATGAAATATTTACTATTCTTCCTGCTCAAGCCGCGGGAAGTCTAGCCTTCTGGGAGCCAATGAAGCAACGGTATGACCTACCCATGATGACCATGTCAATTCATAGTGAGTATTATATATCGCTGGTGGCAATCTATGGTGACCAAAAGCTAGATAAGTCACGGAAAAGTTGGGTTCTGGGGTGGTTCAAGGAGATGGAGAGCAAAGGCTGGCCGTTGGGGACCTACGTTGGGGACGCCCATCCCAAAGAAAGGCCGCATCGCTACTGGACAGAATTGACGAAAACTCGAATCCAGCAAATTGGAGCCAGGCGGGATACCCAATCTCGGATATGCGGAATCATTCCCAGAAACTCGTAGTCGGTGGCTTATCCTTTGATCCATAACCAATGTGCATGATTTTGGCTGAACCTTTGCTCAGAACTTTTAATTCACTGTTTGCACGGAATTTTAACAAACTATTCAATTACCTATCAGTCAAATGTAGAACAAATATCATAAAAATACTGTATTCGAGCGTATTAGTTACGAGTGACGTCTATTAGCTACGCCTAAGGTTAAATATGACGGATGCCATTGGGCTACAAATATATTGGAGAGACAACGTAGCATCTGTTTACCAGCTTTTATCTATTATTGTTTCAACCATAGCATTGCCTAAGATATATAAATTATATCTTGCGGTCTGCCACTAGGAGTAAAATACAGATTGATGATAGATGATGTCATCATTTCTACCACGTGACTATGTTGCTGATCTGCCGGTTTTACCCCGCGGCAGCTGTTGATACTCCATCATCTTGATATTCTTCAGAAACTGATCACTACCGGCACTATGGGTATCTTTGGTCATCATCATCTCGATCCGATAGCCGAGCCTATCGCTATTTTTGAACAATTTGTCTCAACGGAGCCACAGACATTGGTCCTTAAGGAAAAGGTGCTCTCTGTCTCTGGGGATAGCTTCGAAATCAAGCTGGCTAGCGGTGAGCCACTTCTCAAAGTTCATGGCGCTTGGGTATCTCTTTCCGGTCGCAAAAAGGTCGAGGACGCACATGGCAAGCATCTTTTCGATATCTCCAAGGAGCTTCTGCATCTCCATACAACCTACGCCATCGAGGATCCCCATCACAAGAAGATATGTGAGGTAAAGAGTAATTTAAAATGCAAGTACTTGAATTTCCTTTTCTCTGGTTGGGACTTAGCAATATAAAATAGCAGAAGACCTCGCTGACCGTCCTAGTGTTGGGCTCCAAGGCCACCGCCACCTTCACCGACCATAACGACAAGGCGGTGACTTTCACGATGAAAGGAGGCTGGTACGACCATAGTGCCGATATAGTCAATGACAAAACCGGCCAAACTGTTGCACGCATTGACCGAAAGTTACTTAGCGGGCGTGACCTTGTGTTCGGCCAGCAGACATATGCCGTCGTCGTTGCCCCTGGCGTGGATGCAGCTTTGATCGCCGCGCTGTGCATATGCTTTGATGAGAAGAATAATGAAGAACGTGGTGAATGAGGGCATTATATATATGGGAAAGTAGTACGTTGTGGAATATGAGGGATTTGACCAGGCATGAACCAGCCTGCTAACCATATTGCAATTCAATTCACCCAACATCCCTGTACTGTGAGTGGCGATTCAGTGTAAGTAATTACAAACATTTATCGAGACGTATCACTGGAGGATAGCAGATTAAGCAATGACACCTCTTCGGCAATCAATTTTTTCAGAGTATTTACTTAGGGAACATTGATTCTTTTTTACTGAACCCACTCTTTTTCTATATCCCGTCTTCCATATCCACATAGAAACTGTTGCACCATACTTCAGAAACACTGGCCCTTCTCAATTTGCTTCTAGTGCTTGTCCCTACTTCTTTCCTCCATACCTCAACTTCAAATGTTTTCCAAGATGCAATGATGTATATCACAATATTAAGTTGATTCTTAGTTAACTCGGTTCTTGGAATAGCCAACACGTGGATTAATTCCAATGGCGCGGCTTTGTTTTTGATCTATATCATCTTCCCTATCTTCCTATCACACTAGTCTCAATCTGATGACTAAGAAAGAAAATGATGAAAGGTGTAGATTGATGATGGCAAAGGAGGGAGGCTGATATAGGCGATCTGGAGCTGCCTGAGGTATCGCCTCAACACAATCTGATTCGGTCATGACTTGTGACTACCGTAGTCGGCCAAGGGCCGCCGACTCTTTGATTGCTCACTAAGACCTTTGTTGGACGTTTCTCGGCCACTGTAACCAAGCATCCCAGGTTTGATCCAAGTAACTGGAAACAGAATCAATAACATACAATCCGCTATCTCCAAGCCCCCAAATCCCACGATTCAAATATAACAAGGCACCGAAATGGGCAAGAATGACGAGTGCCTCAGGCCGTTTCCCCGCCAAATAATTAAGATAGCTGGGGGGGCACAACAACCAACCATGAAATAATCGGTCCGATCGTCGATTGGTCTGCGTGGTTCCTTTGGCTTGCATTGATAGCCACCTGCAGAGACTTGATCGCCTCCAGAAATGTTTCCCTAGCAGACGGATCGATTGATGCAGAGCTAACCAGTGCTAATAGCTCGGAACATTCCACTGTCAAATCCTCCTGGATCAATGCACTTTCTTCTAATTCTAAAAGGTTTTTAAGTGGTGAGTCGAGAAGAAACCTCCACGAAAAATTGGTAACCTCACGAACAAGTTGGTGCAAATGGAATATTTCGATGAAGTCATGAAGGAAATCGCCAAAATCCTCCCGGCAAAATGTCATTTTCTCAGAAAACACATGAAAAGCACGAATCGATGTAAAAAGAAAGACTGTAAGACAGTTTTCGACATCAATTGTTGGCTGCTCCAGTCTGAACAAAGTGAATGCCTGGGCTCGAAGCTGACTTGCGCGATCTCGAAATTCTTGCTTTCTAGTCGGATAAATGATGCTTAAATGCAGTGCGGTAAACCCAAGAATTTGGTTCATCAAATAGGGTGCACTGAACAATCTGTCCATGATTTCCGGACTAAGAATTCCGAACTTGGATTTCTCATAACCAAAGAGCGCTAGATCTTTGTTGATCAGATGGCGAAGCAGCTCCAGATGGAGCATATTGACCGGTGGGCTGTCGAATTTCCTGTCAAGTGTAGATTTGATAGAGAAGCTTGTATCGCTATCATTCTCAGTGGAGATCGTGGCGTTGGTTATATTCGTAAATGACGTACACCCAGAGATTTGGGACTGTGACGCCGGAGTTTCCTCGTAGGAACACTGGTGCTTAGTTATATTGCAATAGCCACAAGCTGGACGGCTCTCATCACACTGATAACCTAGGTCAATATCCGACTACCGTTCCTACCATCTTCTATCCTTCTTGGAAGAAACAACGTACCTTGATGTGTCGACGTTTGCATTGGACACAACCGTTCCTTGACTTCTTGTGAGATCTTCTTTTAATTGCAGTCATTTTGTAGGTAAAAATATCGAATAGCCAAGGGAAAAGTAAATTTGTGTGATAGGTGCTGCACTCGCGGATCTGATGACTTCGGTGGGAGAGAAAATAAAGGCAAGATTGAGGATACAGGAAATCTCGAACTTTTATATGACGAAGTAGTCAACCCCAAATGTCGAGTGGCTTGGTACAATTCATGCTCGTATTTGCAAATGTGCGCAATACGCGGGAACTTCTGGGTGACATTGCCGTTCAAGTTTTGACTAAGACAGTCTATGCGGCCTCGGGCCTTAACAATATTCTGATAGTAATCCATAGGAAGTGTTACTGTACCTACAACATAAAACCATATTAAAATGTGATCCTTAGATGTCTTGAAGTTAAACACAGTATGAATAAGCTATTATTGACACTCAATGTTTACTAGGCACACACAGTATTAGCTATAAGAAATGCTACTTACAATACTGATATTCACTTCTATCTTCACACTTAGTCTTTTTTCTAGCTTTAGTATCAATAAATTGCGATACAAACGCCTCTGAGAAAGCTTATGTAGAGGAATACAGGTTGAAGCTGTGTAAAATTGCCGTATTTGTTCACTTTATAGCTTCTTTCAGCTGTTTGAAAAAGCCCTCTTTACCAATTATCATAATCTCACGTATAATAAAATTACAGACAGACTTGACACGTTCTGTTCAACCCTTGAAAGTGGCGGAAAGATACAAAATACGAGGATCGACAAAAACCGTTTTGGTTTGGTAGTCCTGTAATTTATCGTAGCTGTATACGCGGACTTCTCGAGTGCTGATTGGCTTCCAATTTTACCCCTGTGGATCAAAACGACGGTCGACACTGACTAATTGTACGTACTCGTATATGAACCAATGTTTTCGATGATCATTTCTTGTTTGTAGCATCCTTAACTGTTTGTATTGTCACCCTTATCCTGGTTATCCCGGTCTTTAAAAGACGCACTCTCCTCAGTGGTTTTACAGTTGACCAGACCAACGCGACAATGCTTTTACCAAAAACTATATGTTTACTTTCGACTCTCGTGACTTTCTCATTCGCAAGCCCGAACTGCAAACTCTCACCTGCCGATTCAGCATGGCCCTCGACGAATGAATGGGCTGCATTGAACCGTTCAATCGATGGAGTTCTGGTCAAGACTGCCCCAATTGCATCATCTTGCTACCCTGGTAATCCATTCAATTCACCCGAGAACTGTACCAGCGTGCAGGATAAATGGTATTATGCAGCTCATCATGCTGTCTGGCCCGAGAGCGTTGACTATCCGATCTACTCAAACAACTCCTGTGTTCCAAAAGGTGTGACTGGTTACGCCGAAGGAAAAGGCTGCAATATTGGTGGGCTACCGCAATACATTGTGAACGCTACGACAATTGAACATGTTTCCAAGGCAATGAGTTGGGCATCCAAACGGAATATTCGGATTGTCGTGAAAGGAACAGGTCATGACTTGAACGGCCGGTACGTTTTAAGAGGTAACTTAGATCTTCTACATGAGTCGCTAATCTTAGCCCAGATCAACGGGAGCATTTGCGCTTTCTATTTGGACGCACAATTTCAAACATATCGAAAGACGATGTGGTTGGAAATTGCCAGGCCAAAATAAAACCGAGGATGTTGTTGTTTGTGGTAGCGGCAACAACTGGGGCTCTGTTTATACTGCCGTTCACCATATGGGTAGAGCTGTTGTTGGTGGTGAAGATGCTACGGTTGGCCTCGGAGGGCTAATCCAGAATGGCGGTCATGGATATTTGTCTAGTCACCACGGTCTTGCATCGGATCAAGTTTACCAGGTCACAGTAGTTACTACCGATGGAAGACAACTTATCGCGAACAGTGTAGAGAACAAAGATCTCTTTTGGGCTGTCCGTGGAGGTGGAGGAGGCCAATATGGAGTGGTGACAGAGTTTATTCTGAAAACCTACCCTGTTCCAGCAAACGTGGTCATGGGTGGCTTTTCTTTCCATGCGGCCGACTCATCAAACACGAGCGAGACTGCCTCATGGAATGCTCTGTCTGAAGTTGTCTCCTCGATTCCGGACCTTATGGATAGTGGTTTGAATGGTAACGTCACCGCATACACTAAGGCAATGACAACGGCCTTGGGATTGAAGGAAGCACCACCTGGTGTTGCAGCAGTGGTTGGATTTGTTGGTTTCAACATGACGACTGATCATATGGATCATATTGTTGATAAGCTATCAGCTCAAGTCGTCACATCTACTGGCAACGGCAACTATCTAAATATTTCTCGCCAACAGACATCTAGTCAGAGCTACTGGTCTTTTGTGAAGCCTGAACCGCTGTCTAGTAGCTCTGCTGGGGCTGCCAGCCTGATGACCAGCCGCCTTATGGGCCGAAGAGAACTTTCAGATATTGCTCCGAATAAACTAACGGACTATTTGCAGCAGTCCTTGGTTTCTGAGAACCCAGAAACCGGAACGATGTTGTTGTTTGGACTGCAAGGCGGCCGCGGGCCTGCTAAGGTCCCAGCATCGATGCGTGGGAGCGTTCTCCCTGCTTGGCGCACCGCATACGCTCACGTTATGACACTGGGCGCCACTATTAACGCAACAATTGATGCAAGCGAGTCCCTGAGTAACGCTGCAGATTGGTATGAGACTTTTAAAGAGCCGGTCTGGAGAAATTGGGCTCCCAATACCGGTGCCTACATGAACGAGGGCAATCCCTTCAGTAGCACTTGGAAGAACGATTTCTATGGTGAGAATTATGAGAAGCTCCTTGCCGCCAAACTCAAGTTTGATCCTAGCGAGAGTCTTTTTGTTTGGAGTGGTGTCGGTAGTGACCTGTGGAATTATGATCTGAGCTCTGGGTTGCTATGCCGGGTTGAATCATGAATCAGACACAGTATCGATTGAAGTATTGCTTTCGGGTTTCAGCTTGGCAGCTGTACATTTAGAAAGTATCTGGTTGTATCTCCCCTTTTCACGAGATAAAATAGATGGACGGATGTGCTTTGGGTTGGAGGACTTGTATTTTATATTTAGATTCTTGAAAGGTCACATGTTTAGTGTAGACAATTGTTACAAACTATTCAATAGACGACATTCATTTCAAAGGATCCAATTGGAAATTTGTGGACCTGCCTCTACCCAGAGAGTCAATTCATAGACAGGCGAAGCTGACATGAAGAATCATGGAGGGTGAATTCCGAGATATGGCTTACTTAGGGATGAACGATTAAATGGTGTGTTTAATTACGCAGAACGTTACAAGTATTATAACTCGATACGACCCAAGAAAATCGGCGTATGGGTCCAACTATTGGGCTCTTGTGGGTCCATGAAAATCCTAGAATGGATTTCCGTAAACTTGCCACTGTGAACCACATAAACTTGAACTATGAAACCCCTATTTCTGTTTCTTCGTTTTTGTCCTCGGGCCTTGGCCATCAACAAGATTTTTCAATAAATGCAGACCTTTCGCCAAAACCGCCTTCTTAGCTCGTCATCATTCCTTACCTTGAAACCTTTTTTACACTACTGTGACACCAGGAGTTGAAGATTTCAGCATCGCAACATGAGCATTGGGCCTGATGAACAGCATTTTAATGAGACAAAAAAAATATGGATGGCACAATACCGTTTCTCCAAACAACGGGGCGAACAATTCGCTCCGCCTCGATCTCGACTGCCACAAGACTGCTCGATTATAACCCAGCAGGCGGTATGTGGCAAGCGACTGGCACTGTCATAGCGCATGCTCCAAACATCACAGACCTGAGATCACCCGACACGGTCTACTTCGACATGCACGGACGAAGCATACGTCGAGTGAGCATCCAAACTGCGAGTGGTGCCAGCAAAGTCCTAAGATCAGATGCGACTTCGACTGAACCACCCTTCTCAGAATGTAAGGAGGTAACTAGTAAATCAGATGAGTTACCTTCTACTGCTCGGTATGATCATTCTAGGAGTCCCAAAAATTATCAGGAAAAACAGTCTTGGGGCAAAGCATTTAGGAAAGGGAGTGTCGCTTCTTGGCAATTTATATGTACACCTACAGGGCTTTTTATCACTGTCTACGGTCTCAACGTGATTGCCTGGGGTGCTATGTTATTTTTTCTCTTGCTGAATGTCGGCCCTATGACCAAAGAGCAAAAAAGTATTTGGATTGAAATCGACTCACAGATTCTCAACGGGTTGTTCTGTTTAACTTCGTGGGGCCTGGCCCCCTGGCGAATTCGTGACACATACTGGTTATTGGTGTGGCGCATTGGATCGGGCGAAAGATCACGAAACTCGATTAATCATCTTGCAAAGCGAAGCGCAAGTTGGTTTCGAATGCGCGAGTGTGATTTTGAAAACAGCTGCGACGAAATCCCGCTTCGCAAGACCCTGACAGGCAAATCTGCACCGGCAACCAAGACGTGGAAAATGGACTTCGTTGTCATCAACATGCTCTTAAACAGTCTTTTCCAGATTGGGATGGCGACGTTCATGTGGGAATACAACCGACATACTCGTCCGAGCTTCGGGGTTGGCCTTTTCATCGGCCTCGGCTGTTTTAGCTCTCTCCTGGCAGGGATAATGACCTGGTGGGAGGGGCGAAAAATCAAAAGAATCGAGGGGTCGATCCTGGAAGAGACCAGTAAGGATTATTAAAATCGGATGGTCGCGGCAAATCTGCCTTGATGTGTTAAAACATGTTTCTATACCTGTAAATATTACTAGCCTCAATTTATGGTAATTCATAAGAGTAATAAACTCGTTTCCTACAAATAGCTTGATACGGGTCGATCATAATCGATTATTCTTTGTGTAGACAAGTTTTCAAGGGGGAAAAAATAGAGAAAAAAAAAATCAACTCCAGATTAACTCTTAGCGGCTGTTCTATTTGCAGCTTCAGCTTTCACTAGTCTTGGCAACGATTATCGAACGGCAATGTCCCGAATACGCGGAATCCGTAGCTTCTAATTAGCTGATAGTATTCTCGGCGGATTTACAGTTACAGCAGTACTCTCGAGACCCACAACATCGCAGAAATTACATTCCCAAATTCTTTTTCAGTACGAGTATCCATATCGAGGGGTAACCTCGGAAATATCAAGTGCCCCACCTTGCGCAGTATCAATGACTTCTGTATTGAGTCATGCCGTCCGCACATGTGTATTTGGAACTTGCATTATGGCGAAATTTATGTATAGGTGGCAACAAAGCTGTTTTTGATCCCTGTTGGGGCAATAACTATCTACCATTGAGCTGAGTCAATTTTTGCAGTGCATGAATGCTACCTTTGCACACCCAGGTATTCTTACTCTAATTCTATTGATCTTGCGGCCTAGCCGCTTCCAAGAAGTTTCAAACTTCCAATATTCAAATTGAAATAGAGAACTTGAGAACAATCAATCTTGAAGATACACCAATGAGTTCACATTGTGGTTCGTTTTCTACGTAATATCTTAGCCTTGATATTAGTTGATAAATTGTCACAATTAGTTACATATAGTACAATATTGATGTGTAAGATCCAAAGGCTACATATTGCAGATTGGTTTGGGAGAATAGAAACAAACTCGGCTTTTTTTATCACATCTCATCTTGAATAAACGTATTCGGCCACCGCAACCAACTCTCCCACTCGGACCCAAGGTAATGATTGATTGAAGCAATGATATAAAGACCACTGTCACCAAAAGTCCACATCTCATTGTGCATGTGTAGGAGGGCACCGAAGTATGACAAAACAGCAAGTGCTTCCGGTCGACGCTCCGTAAGCAGATTTATGTAATCCGAGGATATAGTGACTGGCCAGAAAATTATCGGGCCAATTCTGGAGAAGTTTGATGAAGGAGAGCGACTCGCATTATAAGCTTTTTGTAAGTGCTCAATCGCCTGTCGGTAAATAGAGCTGATCGCTGGGTCAAGCATCGTATCCACATGAGCAAGAAGCCCGAGGCACTCATTACCAGAGGTACTTTGATCTAACATCATTCCTTCATTTTCAAGCAGAGATTTTAGCGGTGACCGCAAAAGCAGATGCCATGATTGGCCGGAAACTGCACGGACGCCACTATGCATTCTCAACGACTGAATAAAGTCATCGAGAAACGTTTGAAAGCTATCCGGGCGAAACAGTAGCTTCTCGGCGAGGACATGCATTCCAAGGCATGAAGAAAAAAGAAACATAGGGACACAAGTTTCAGCGGACACGCCAAGTTTGACGCTATTAAATTCAGAAAGAGCGTGTGTTTGAAGCTGGGACGAATGATATTGGTAGAACCCCTGTCTCGCCGGTTGAGTGATGCTGAGATGTAATGCAGCGAATGCAAGAACTTGGTTCATAAGAAATGGTGAAGACAGAATATACTTTGTCATGTCGATAGCAGAGCCCTCGGGTGTGAACTTGTCGAGGCCAAGGAACGTCAAGATATCGGTAATAAAGTGATGGAATAATTCAAGATGCAGTTTATTCACCGGGGGGCTGTCATGCATGACACCGGGATCAGCAGCACGCGAAGAATTCACATAAACTTTATTATTTCTGGCGGTGCTCTTTGACTTCCGTTGGGAAGTCGACACTAAAGCAGTCGCTTTCGAAATCATATTTTCATATGAACAGTGACGCTTTGAAACCTCGCAATTGACGCACTTTGGGCGTGTCTCATCGCACTTTTGCACAGGTCAGCTTGGAAAAGATTGTTCACCTAGACAGGCTATCTCGCCGCCCGGTGTTTTCTTTATTATGATAGAGTATAATACCTTAAGATGGCGACGTTTGCACTCAACGCAGCCATGTCTTGATTTGCTGTGCGGCTTTCTGGCTTTTATCATGCTCTTGCCCTTTCCAGCTAAAACCATGTTGGAAAGTTTTGTGCTTTGGATGGAGTCCAGGAAATTCACCAATATTAATTCAAACGGGGAAAGGGGGCGAGTATGAGCCCTTGAGGATTCTAGTATAGCAAGGGTTAAAAATCCGCCGTTGGCCTTAGATTTCCGCCTCTGCATGAAGCCAAAAATACTGACTCAGCCAACCTCCGATGCTTTGTCATTCATAATAAGGTCACGTGTTTACTTATCATATTATTGGTCAGTGCTCGGCCAAAACTAAGCTCCTTTCGTTCGAAGAAGCTTGGCAGTGTCTCTATGCCCGTCTAACCTCAATATTCATAAAACGAGGACAAAACCAAGAAAAAAATCAAAATAAAGTATCTCAGTCTAATGAAAAACATCACTGCTGGTTGCTGTGGGCTCGTAGCTTTCGACCAGAAATGGGTCATCTATGTAATATTTGAACAGCCGGTTACGTCGTTTTCCATGCGCGTAGGTAGTTTCCGATCACACATCTCGCAGGTTCACATAGTGATCAACGACAGGACCCTTGCCCACAAGGATTTTTCCTGGGTGGACAAAATGGAAGATCGCCTGTACAAAAAACATGGGAATCATGTCGAAAATGTACATGAAGAACTCATGCGTGTACACATATCCATCTGTTCCGGCGACGTACTCAATGATCCGAAATACACATCTTCCAATCACCAGAGCTGATACAAGGAACAAGATATGTAGAAGACGCTTCCATGGGCCACCGATGATATTGAGATGAGCATTGTGCAGCCGACGCTGGAAGGTAACAGAGACGTAGAGGAAGAATGCAAAGAATATTAGTTGAACGATCAGTCCAACTACCAGGACCTTTTCTCCAATATTTCGCATGCTATCAATAGTCTGCATGCCGCCACCACCCAGCTGTAGGAGGAAGGCAGTGGTGTCTCCTGATACGAAAATCTTGGTCACTTTGCGGGGTGCCACGATGGATAGCTGAGGTTGACCGACAAAGTTGACGATACGACCGTAAGTCATGTAGATTGTCGCGGCGTAAAGGGATGGCGGGAGAATAATGAACATAGACTGGCAGATATAGGAGACAAGGCTATCCGGATTTTTTGCGGAGAGGAAGCGGAAAATGTAGCCCAAGGTCATCACTGGTGTCAATTGATATTAGTAATTTTGGATTTCCAAGGTCGAGGATAATTCTGCAAATTTCCCGGGCAAGGAGAGGGGAGGAAGTGGCTCACTGAAAGCACCGATAAGGAAAGCAGTGAAAAACCACGTTCTTGTTTTAATCATTTGCCAAAGATGAACACATGAACTTGCTCCGAACAGCAACATCGCAACCACTGCACCTGCCGTGCTGGGATCGTAAGGATAGTAACCTGGAGACCCCATTGCGTCCAAAAAGCTTCAGTGTAGCGTCAAAAGCGATTCCTTGAGTAATGTAGGAAAGTCTCAGAACAGTTGAATATTTCCCCAGGGAAGAAAAGAGAGCGATAGAAACAAGATGGAAAGAAAAGAGTGTGGTGGTAAAGATCGAGTTTGAAAGGGAGTGTAAAGAGAGAACTTCAACCAAAGGTTGAGATTAGGTATAAGCCTTGGAATTTTCTGTGAACAAAGGATACATATAGGTCGCTGTAGATTTACTTTATTATGTACCCACAGCTAGAAGGTGATCCAGCAGGCAGTCATTAGTGGAGTAGAAGCGTGAAGCGCACTTTCGGGAGGGACACTATTTGAATCGGGCTGTGTCGATGTTTCACTACAATATTCTTTTAGGTAGACCACTCTATTGGCTTGTTCCAAGTTGACGGTACTAAATATATACCAGCAAAGATCTCGGGTTGCATATACGAGGAACGGGAAGGTTTCGATTGGCCAGCCTTGCCCGAATACACGGATTGAACGGCCTATGATTGGCTTGTTCATGGTATCTTCGAAATCTCGAAAATTTCCTTGTTTCAAAACCGGTAAAATACTTTTATTTACTGAAGTGGAGAATCAGGACTTAGCGCTTCCTTAGCGCAGTTCTGTTGATAGTATTGTCCCGAATCTTGGACTCGACATCGATAGACTAAACCTCGGAAAAAATTGCGTTTGCTAGCTGCAGTCGTAATTTTAAAATAAAAATTTCTTATTAATTGCAATGGAATTCTAAGGAAATAGCCCACTATGTGTGTACAGCTCGGGACGGAAACGGCTATTGAATATTATAACTGGAGAAGTCTGATGATGTTACAATGGGCGAATCATGGAAAAGTTGGCAAAAGCCCAAATGAAAAATATGGCAAGGTCGACTTATTTGCTGGACATGATTTTAAAGTATCCCAGCGAAAGACAAGTAGGCTAAAGGAAATAAAATGGTGGGCTCAACAATCCAAGTTGGTGGAAGTGATTACTAGTGAGATCTCGAGACCAGCTGCTTTATGAGAGAAGAAAATAAAGGAAGAAAGGGGGAGCAGAGAAGGTAATGTGTTATTGCATAGGAAAATAAAGAGCGATGGGGAAGAAAGAAGCAGAGGGAGAGTGTGGATGGCGAGGCATATGCCTAAGTAAACGATCAATCAAAGCATTTGAATCATACGCAGTCGTGACACGAATGCCGCGAAGCAAAATAGCATTATCGCGAAACAAGAGTGTGCAGATTCCAAGTGAATAAAGGATACAGACTAGAGGCTAAGTTGGCAAAGAAATTGACGCATTGGGATTAAGGCCTGTATCACCTGAACTGTTGTTGAGAACAGTTCTCCGTTAGTTGGTTGGTTGGTTGGTTAGTTAACCAACTAATTAACAATCTGTGCTCCTCGAATTTAGACGATTCCAGGGATTTTTTCTCGTACAGTCAGCGCATCCGCTCTAAAGAATCTGCGCAGAGATGGAGGAAGGCAGATCGCGGGAACTGAAGCCAACACTGATGTTGAAGCGACCTTCAGGAATCCTCCACTGCTGAGCTTCGGTATCCCAGAAATTGAGATCCCGACGATGGAGAGAAAAGCGAACTTTTTGATGAGCTCCAGGGGACAGTGTCACTTTTCAAAACCACGAAGTACCTTGATAGGGGTTCCGGATGGCATCGAGTTCATGGGATAAGAAAGATAGAATTGAACAACGGTGGCTCCAGACATATAACCAGTGTTAACCACGGTTGTATCAACTTCAATCATCTTGCTCCAAAGATCGGAGTTGCCGCCGATTGGTGTCATTTTGTTGGAATTATGTGAGAGCGCAGACACGTCTCCCTTGGCGTTGTCATGGTATCGTACGGAAAGCTTCGTTGAGAGGTTGAAAGAAGTGTAGCTCAGACCATAGCCAAATTCGTACAACGGTGTGGTCTCCTGGCTATCGAAATGGCGGTAGTCGATCATCAACCCTTCTGTGAAATTGACTTGCCATGCGTCGGAGATAGTGGCGCTTGCACCAGTGAGATTGAAAATAGGTGCGTTATAATCAGAAGTGTCTTGGCAATAGTGTAGGGACGCTTTCCAGACGGGTTGACATCACCCCACAGAACATCCACGATCGAATTGCCAGACTCCTGTCCAGGGTAATGCGCGGCGAGAATTGCAGTCACATTCTCATTGTCTGCCCATGGCATTGAGTTGACACCGCCAGTGTGAGTAACCACAACAGTTTTTCCAGGACAGATTGATGCAACTTGATTGACCACCTCAGTGGAATTCCAGTCGGCTTCAAGGGTGGTTCGATCGACTCCCTCTTGGACCCAAATCTTGAGAAAAACAAATCATCTGGTTTAGTCGGTGCTCGGAAATAGATCCATTTTTAACGCCAGAGACCACATGGGATCCAAAATAGGAATGAGTGAAGTCTGTCTCGCTGAGGAAGCCCGGCATGTTTAAGTCGAGACCTGAATTGATGGCATGGGCACCCGAATGTGTTGCGAACCAATCTGTCATCACATAACCCTCGAAACCTAGCTCCTCTCTCAAAATATTCTTGAGAAGCGGAGAATTTTCGCAGGAATATGTCATATTGACTCGGTTGTAGCTACACATGAGTGAAGCAACACCAGCTTTGACAGCATCCGCAAAGGGCCAGAGATAGAGTTCATGTAGAGTGCGGTCATCAATGTTGGCTGAAACGGCAGCAACATCAACACCGCCGATTTCTTCGTTGGTTCGATGGGTTTCTTGCTCATTTCCAATGAAGTGCTTGGCACAGGCTTGCACACCTAACGCTTGGGCACTCCGGATACTCTCTTGCATGGCAACTCTGAGAGATAAGGATCTGGGGAAAATCCCTCCCAGTTGCGACCACCCCATGGACTACGACCAAGTGGATCAGTCGAAGGGCTGGAAGAAAATTTTAGCCTGCACAGTGTGTTTCACTTAGAAAATAATAACCCACCCTAGCATCACATTGGCACCCTTTCCGCGAAATTCGGCACCCATTGCGGCACCTCGTCGAGCGATCAAGTCTCGATCCCATGTTGCTGCTGCAGTCAACCCTGATGGAAAGACGCTTGCAATGTCAGTAAGGTGCAAGCCCTGGGGGCCGTCGGACAAGCAAAGACCACGAAATCCGACACTTTCAATTGATGCAAGATTCCCTATACATTGCCCATTGGCAGTGCCGGTCACCATAGATGCCTTCTCGGTCAAGTTCAATTTGGCTATCAGATGGTTTGCCTTGGTGCTCGCGGCGGCCCATTTAGAGGTATCGATCGCAACTTCGGCTGAGGGTCGGAATTAGCATAGAATTCCAGGCTGATCAAATTCAGGGCATAGAACTAAGCTAGACTTACCAGCATCGTAAGCCAAGGCTTCCTGGGAATATATACTGGTGACAAGTATAGCAGTCACAATGGACGGTCGAAGTTTAAAAAGCATGTTGTTTCACCCTTGGGACGATCTTTTGAAAGGAAGTTCCAAGTTGAAGAATAGTATGTCTTCGATGGGATGAAGTCCAGGGTATTTAATGCTTTTTGTTCACCTCGGCAGAGTAGGAAAGGGGTTTCCCGAGACTCGCATAGTTACGAATCCGTATTACGAGTGTGGAGGCTCCAAGGTTTTTGACGGACTCGAATCCACCAGCTCCAAAATCTTGGAAAGCAGTTTCTGGGGCCCATATTATTGACCTGTTGCCTATATACGTTTTGAGATTAGGTTTATGGCTAAATTTACAGAATCGGGATTTTTAAAGCAACAGACTTGGATATTTTGTGCGGTTTCTAAAGCCTCCTGGGTTATACGGTGAATTAGTTGAAGTCCCTCCATTTTTTTCTGAATTCCAGAGCTAATATAAAGTAGTTATTCAAATATTTGTATTACACTCCGCTGCATACGCCTCCAAGTAGCGACATATTGACCTATTATCAGTCACCGAAACAAGAATGGAAGGCTCATATATCCTCGGCGTTCAATGTGGCTGACAAAAACGAATATCACACCCCGCAATGCCGATTAAAAGAGATTTCATGAATGTTCTATATAATTATGTGTGACATGATCATCATTCATAAATAGTAAGCCTATAATGGTGATGCGAAGTACATGCTCAATAGCGAGAAAAGTGATCATGCCAGAAAACACCAAAAGAAAGAGAGAGAGCCAGAGGTATACGAAAACAAAATGCACGACAATAACAAGAGATCGGAAAGCAGAGAAACGGGTCTAGCGTAAAGGTTTTCATGATCATCCCTTGCTCTCAATAGCCCCACCGCTCTGAGAAGCGCTATCAAGAAAAGGCTTCAGATCACTAGGGTACCATATCGCAAAGATCACCATAGCGGCAAACATGGGTACAGCATCAAAGACATACAATGTCCATTCATTGCTCAATGGATAGCCTTCATTACCCATGGCGTACTCCACGATTCGGAAAATGGATCGGACGAGCACCAGGCCACTGATAGTATATAGGCCATACAGGTGTTTTTTCCAGGGTATAGCGACATCAAATGACTCTGTAGTTGGAGCACGACGCATCCGTGTCTGAAACACATACGCAGTGACGATAAACAGGCAGAAACTCACAGCCTGGAGACATAAGCCAGCAATAACCACGCCCTGGCCAACTTTGCTCAGGCTGCTATTGACCATCATTCCTGATCCGCCTGCTTGAACCAAAAATGTGATAACATCACTTATAACGAATGTTTTGGTCACCCAGTTCAGTGGTACGACAGAATACATCTCTGCGCGGACGCTGCGGATGATGCGAGCGAGCACCATATAGACCGATGCAGCAAAGAGAGCTGGACCTAGGAGGATGAAGACTGCTTGGATACAATATGGCATCAACTTTCCAGTATTGTTGTGAGAATCGATTCGGGTCGCATAACCAATGATCTCGACTAAAGACACATGTCAACAAATGGGGGGGAAATGCGGTAGCAGGGAGCATCTTACATAGACCACCAATGGCAAACGGCAGTGTAAATCGCACTCTTTTCCGGAAGATTTTCCAGAAATGGACAAATGTTGTGAGAAGAAAAAGCACCAAGAAGATGACGGCCGCAGCCATAGAGGGGACATATTGCCACACGTAATAGCCACTCTTCAGAGACTCCAGCTTCGCCATTTTGATGTATTTGAAGTTGGTGAAGATTTGATGGGTGGGGACTTCAATGAAAGATCCATCAAGATACCCTCCCTTTTTTTATATTGTACGATTTAAGAGGAAAACTTAACTTGGTGGAGCCATATTAGTGGAGTTGGATTGTAGTTTATTTCCAGTGACCAATCGTGTTGCCCGCAGTACGCGTACTCGGGTCGAGATCATGGTTCCGCTGCCCGCCGCGGATCCCCAAGATTGGATTTCCATAGCCGTACGCGGAAACCATCGCCTCTGATTCGTCGATAATTGGATGGGGTGTTTAGCCTCGTGTACGCGTACTTTTGGGGTGGTGATTGGCCACTGATTTAGTCCCTGAGTATTGTTCCTACACGAGTCAACTGCCGAGTCTCCCGCAATTCACCTTCAGCCCTGGCTTGGCTTTCAAATGGTTTAGACAAATTCATGTTAATTGCGTCATCCACGTACTCGTGTTTCTAAAAAAACGCGCGTACCCCAAGAATGATTGCAATTCATACAATCTTATTTGCCTTTCTTTTCGGATCTTGTTTGAGCGTTCTCGCCCTCCGTTATTTTCTCTAACTTCTATATTTCTCTTGACCACTATCGCTGTGCTCCGTCCAATCGCATTGGTTACTTTGAACGAGGCTAAAGCTAACGCACATCAGCATGACTCAACTACGACTACGCATCGAGGGACAGTCATTCCGAGATCCCCAGAATCGAGAAGTCACTCTAAGGGGGATCAATGTGGCGGGTGACGCAAAATATCCTAAAGTACCAAATCTAGGATCCCATGATCCGGAGGATTTCTTCAACGCAGATAATGTCTCGTTTGTTGGACGGCCATTCTCTCTAGAGCATGCTGATGCCCACTTCCAGCGACTGCGAAAGTGGGGATATAATGCCATTCGATATATCTTCACTTGGGAGGCCATCGAGCACGCTGGCCCCGGTGTTTACGATGAGGATTGGGTGGATTTCACGATTCAAATATTGTGCATCGCAAAGAGGTATCAGTTCTACATCTTTATGGATCCGCATCAAGACGTGGTAAGACTATCTCTGAGCCATTGAAACTCCCTCTTGGTATACGCTAATCGTTCAAAGTGGTCCCGACTGTCAGGGGGATCAGGCGCACCTGCATGGACCTTTTACGCAGCCGGACTGAACCCACGATCTTTTAAGAATACGGAAGCCGCCCTCTCGCATCATACAGCAGAAAGTCCTGCCGACTTCCCCAAGATGCTCTGGTGCACAAATTACTCAAGATTAGCCTGCCAGACTATGTTCACTTTGTTTTGGGCTGGCCGAGAATTTGCGCCAAAGGCAATCATTGATAATATGAATATCCAGGACTTTTTACAAGGCCACTTTATTGCGGCGTGCAAACATCTCGCACAGAGAATCCACGATGCAGGGGGGCTCGAACACGACGTGGTTATCGGGTGGGAAAGCTTGAACGAACCTCATAGAGGACTTATTGGTATCCATGATATCTCGAAAGTTCCACAGGAGCAGCATCTTCAGCTCGGGACATCCCCGACCGCATTTCAGGGCATGCTTCTTGGTGCCGGGAGGAGCTGTGAAGTGAGTACATGGCGATTTGGAAGGCTTGGACCACGAAAAACTGGTAAGAAGCTTATTGACCCGAAGAGCGAGTCGACATGGCTACAATCTGAGTGCATCCAATACGGCTGGCAGCGAGATCCGAATTGGAAACTCGGTACCTGCCTCTGGGCGCAGCATGGGGTTTGGGATCCGACCAACAATATTCTGTTACAAAAGGGCTACTTTTCAAAGATTCCCCGCTCTCACGAAAGGCTAGATTATGAAAGGTTCACCAATACCTATTTTCTCGCACACTACAGAGCCTACCGCGATGCAATTCGCAGTGTATGTGAGGGCACTATCATGTTCTGCCAACCTCCCGTCATGGAAGTACCACCGTGCATCAAAGGCACCCCCGATGATGATCCGAATATGGTACATGCTGTCCACTTTTATGATGGTCTAACACTTTTGAGAAAGCACTGGTAAGTACCAATAACCCGCTCATGAGCCATTATACTGATTTTTACAGGAGTTGCCTTTTCAATATCGATGTCATTGGCGTACTTCGGGGCAGGCACGCCTTGACGGCGTTGGCGGTCAAACTTGGCGAGAAGTCTATTAGGAATGGATTGCGAAATCAGCTTGCATTCATCCGTGACGAAAGTTTACAGAACGTTGGAAGTCATCCTTTAATTTTTACAGAGATTGGAATTCCATTTGACCTCGACAACAAGCATGCATATGCGACTGGCGACTACAGGAGTCAAATCAAAGCAATGGACGCCAACCATTTTGCTTTGGAAGGAAGCAACGCCAATGGATTTACCTTGTGGGCGTACGTGACAGAGGTATGTACATTGACTTTCATCTCAAGAATTGTACTGACTTTGCTTAGAATGATCACGCATGTGGCGATCAATGGAATGGTGAAGACTTTTCAATTTTCTCACTAGATGATTTGGAGTTGCCGGAGAAAACCACTTCGAGTTCCACGAGTTCATTTTATCTGACTCACTCTGACGGTCTTATCACTGTGAAAAGTACGAAAGCCAACACGTATGTCGAAAATATTGTGCCCTTGGGGTACACATCAAGTGATTGTGATCATTCTGAGGAAGTGATTACTCAGAGGCGAGGCTATCGCGCAGCAGAGGCATACCTTCGCCCTAGTCCCATCTGTGTAAAAGGCCAATTGGACAGCTATGGCTTCGATTTGAAGAAATGCACGTTCACTATGACCATGGCTGCGCAGGCCACGGAGCGCCATTCTCCAAGTGAGATTTATCTTCCCTATTTTCATTTCGCAAAAGGGAATATCGCAGTCATGGTAAGTGAAGGTAAGTGGGATATTGTCGAACAAGAAGTCAATGGTCTCAGGATACAATGTCTTTTATGGTGGCATGATCAAGGGAAGGTGGAAATCAAAGTCAAAGGGAATCATCTGAGCCCAAAGAAACTGGGTATTGGCTGTTAAGGATCTCAGAAGAATAAATGTATATGTACATACGGAGATTAATCCTGAATCCAATTGTCTAGATTTGCACTTTGACTACCATTGTGAGGATGCTCAGATACTCACAGATCAACGTACGGCGTAGCATACGAAGCAATGAAACAGTACCGGTTCGACGAAAGTAATAGTTTGAGGAGAATAAGAAGGAAGCTAAGATGGAAGACTAGATACATAGGTGTAGGCGTGGATACCAGAGTGGTGCCGTAGGCATGAGGCATCCACGAATGGTAACAACACCAGTTCGTTACAACCATGATGATAGACATAATTTGGGTCATAAACTCATCAAGCAGCGAAAAACGACCTAGTAACGCGACATGAAAAACTCTGGACAAACCAAAGCAAAGGCTAATTATTGAAGTAAAAATCAAAATGTTCAAGTGACGGATATTTGCATAGGGTAATAACCAGGTATACTCTAATGATCTAAAATGACTGCCACTGGAATCACTAGCAGCAGCAGCAACCACAGCAACAGCATTCAAAAACGCAAGACCCTTACACCTAAAGCCATCAGATTGAATTCAGACTTAATCAATTTGGATCCGACTCACACTCCACAGCATATTTCACCTGCGCCTCCTCCACGGATATTTACATTCGGTGGCTGAAGTTGATTCTTTTTGTTTCATCAGCATAAGGCCCTCGGGTGTGATAATTCGCTAGATTGGATCATAAAGTGGCTCTTACAGGCTGAGTTGAGATAACTGGAGCAGTGATCATCGTTTCTGAATTTGAGGGCTGCTGCACTGCCACAGTCTTGGCTTCCCACGTATTTCTGTCTGGGTGAGGTGACCCATTTGATTTGAACAACCCAAACATTTCGATCGAGATTACAAAGAAGAACAAGCGATAGAGCAGGATAGCTCGCACTGATTTAAGGAAACCAAGGACTACGAATCAAAGTCACGCGAGTAATTTTTTGACGCGTACCAAACCCAGTAGTTTTTGAGTACTGGAACTGGAACCAGGTACAAGATGGGGACACTAGGTGAGTTGCCTTATTATTCTTTAGCATCAAAGATACGAGGTGGAGCTGGTAATAATCTTCAAGGCGATCCAAAAAATAATTTGGTTCCAAAAAAGTTTTGGGTTTGTGTCAAAGGGAATGAGCTGCAAAATTCTGGCGGCCTCTCTGGCGGAGTAGGTGCCTTGGAATTCCCACCGGTATATTTCGACTGACTAATTAAAATCGCGAGTATACGCGTATAACGAATAGAGTTATCTGGTAAGTGGCGGGTCGCGGCTGGTTACTTCATGATATTGTGGAGCACTCTATATACGAGTACGAATTACATACATCGTATGTATGTATCTGTATTACACAAGGGTTCTGGGCATTGTTTGGTGTTGGTTTCACCGTATTGACTGGTTCGTCTCATGACAATACACTTACTGCATCAGCCAATATCCCTAGGTGGGGCCAATAATTCACTAGTATGTCTACGCCAAGCTGTTGACTTGTGGATCCTCAATCCCTAGTCTGTTTCTTTCGCGACCGAACTAGGGTATCGTATAGAAAGAGGGTAGTCTGTCTCAATTTAGAATACCTCTAAACACTATTTAACACCAAACTACGCCTACAAAGCATATTACTAGTTGTTATCGCTGGAAATAGTATACCGGTCGCGATAGTTTCCGGCTTAAGTTCCTGGCGGATCATTGGCTGCTTAGATAATTCAGCGATAGGCGCAATAGTCCGAACCAAGTTCCACGCCAACCCAGTTTTAAAATACTTTCAGCCCTGGATATTTTCTAAAGGTTGGATAAACCCGAGGTTGGCTTGATTTTTGATAATTTCATAGCGGCAACTTTTCCACACAACATTTGAATCTTCATGGAAGATCAACCTCCGAGGTACTCCATGTTGGAGGCCGCTGGCTGGTCGGATGATAAGTGGTCTCAGAATGGAGCCAATGTCAACGGTATCTCTGTCGTGGCTTTCCTCTACCACATGATAAAATACTAACTCCTGGCAGATGATGGTCGCATTGAGGTCGACCTTGACTCCAAAGTCTGTCGAACGGTCGCGAAGTTACTTCCGATTTCGCACGGCGAGCAGAGACCTGCGTCGGTCCGGGATCGTACGGAGCCTGTCTCCTGTGATGTTCAGTTAAACATCGTGATCCAGGTCGTTGGCAGTCGAGGCGATGTCCAACCCTTTATTGCATTGGGCAATGAGCTTCAACTCTACGGCCATCGTGTAAGATTGGCGACCCACCCAGTGTTCGAGTCTTTCGTTCTGGAATCTGGTTTAGAATTTTATCCCATTGGAGGTGATCCGTCGGAGCTCATGGCCTATATGGTCAAAAACCCAGGCTTGATACCTCAAATGAAAAGTTTGCGAAGCGGAGAGATTCAACGCAAGCGGGCCATGGTAGCCGAAATGCTACAGGGGTGTTGGGGTTCATGTATCAGTGATGATCCAGTCAGCCAAGTCCCTTTCGTCGCTGACGCTATTATCGCCAACCCACCTAGCTTTGCCCACATTCATTGTGCGCAAGCTTTGTCTATCCCCTTGCACCTTATGTTCACTATGCCATGGAGCAGCACCCAAGCTTTTCCGCATCCGCTGGCAAATCTTAAGTACTCGACTACTGAGCCAAAAATGGCCAATTACATTTCCTACGGTGTTGTTGAATGGATGACATGGCAAGGGTATTAATCCTCCCAATCTCACTATATTGGCCTGAATTTATGCTGATTGAATTTTAGACTTGGTGACGTGATTAACGAATGGAGATCTTCACTCAGTTTGGAGCCTATCCCAGAGACAGAAGGGCCATGTTTGGCTGAGACTCTGAAGGTGCCTTTCACTTACTGCTGGTCCCCAAGTCTTATGCCGAAGCCATCAGACTGGAAATCAAACATAGATGTCTGTGGCTTCTTCTTTCGTTCGCTCCCAGACTATACACCTCCCCCCGATCTCGATTCATTTCTTCAAAAGGGTAGCCCTCCAGTTTACATTGGCTTCGGCAGCATTGTCATCGAAGATCCGGTTGCTATGACGAATATGATTCTCCAAGCTGTGAAGTCACTTGGTATTCGTGCAATCATATCTCGTGGTTGGAGTAATATTGGAGAGGCTGCATCCGATGATCAGGTTTTCTATCTTGGGGACTGCCCGCACGAATGGCTCTTTCAACATGTTGCCGCTGTTATCCATCATGGAGGTGCAGGAACTACGGCGTGTGGCCTACGTTTTGGGAGAACTACGACTATCATCCCATTCTTTGGAGAGTATGATTTCTCGGATCCTATTCTCAAACTAATAGCCTGTACTAATGTCTATCAGTCAGCTTTTCTGGGGTAACCTAGTCGCATCCTGTGGGCTTGGACCTCGGCCTATTCCCTATCGCTCTCTGACTTCACAGAATCTGGCGGAAGCTATTCAATTCTGCCTGCGACCTGAAGCCCAATCTGCAGCTCATGATATTTCAAGCCGAATGAGCCACGAGAATGGTGTTGCCGCCGCGGTTGCCTCGTTTCATTGCCATTTACCAGTGGATGATATGCGATGCAATGCTCTTCCTTCGAAACCTGCTGTGTGGAAGCTCAAGAAATCTTCTAAGCCCCCTATCTATTTGTCGAAAATTGCCGCCGAGGTTCTAATCAATCATCATCGTTTGAAACAAAGTGATCTTCAGCCGTGAGAATTTTTCTTGCCTCCTTGGTTTGAACCATTACTAACAGGAAGCAGTTACCTTGTCAATCAAATCTTCATTCAGAATCGACGATGGGACCCAATCACAGGCACAGCCTCCTCGTTGATAGGAACCAGCACAGACATGTTGAAAGCGACAGGTGATATTGTTTACAAACCATATCAGGAATTTCGTCGCGTCCCCAACGGTCAATCAGAGCCTGCCGTTCCATCTCCGTCTGGCTCTCGAGCCCCTAGCATTGCTTCTTCAACAGACGCATCTTCTCTGCCTGGTTCCGGTGCGAAAAAATCCTCAAAACTTCGAACTACGGGTGTGGCAATGGAGGGCTCCGCAAAGAGTTTTGGAAAGGTCGTTGGCTACTGGTATAAAGGCATGCTCATAGACATGCCTTTAGCAGTGAGTGAGGGTCTTAGGGCTGTTCCCCAGCTATACGGCGATGAAGTCAGAGATCACGGAACAATTCGGGATTGGAAGTCTGGGGCTACTTTTGCAGGGAATAATTTTGTTCATGGAATGGCAGACGGCTTTAGCGGCATCTTCACTCAGCCTTACAAAGGTGGTCAAGAAGAGGGAGCAAAGGGCGTAATGAAGGGACTCGCCAAGGGGACTCTGGGCGTGACAACTAAAGTTTCATCCGGTATGTGCATTGCAGTCACTGATCTCAGAAGTAAAATACTGACCAACCACCAACCGGTCGCAGCTGCATTGGGCTTGGTGGCCTATCCTGCCCACGGAATGATGAAGAGTCTGTATACTGCGACGCACTCCAAAACACGGAAACAAGTTTTCCAGGCACGAATTCAAGAAGGAAGGTATCTGGCGGAACACTCAGCAAATGGCCGGAAAGACTACCAACAGATCATTCGAAATTTCGAGGCTGTCTACCGCAATAATGTCGACTCTGTCTACCCATAATTCAATTGATGGATATCAATTAAACATGCATCCGCTTCGAGGACCTGATCCCTTGCTTCTAATCTCGATACCTGATTCTTTCGAGAAGTTAGAGAGAAGTGCCGAAGCTGAGCAAGAGAGTATTATAGTCTAGTACGGTTCCAATTGCAAGAAAGTTTCTATCTATGTGTAATCGAGACGGCGATAGGTATCGCTATGCTAAGGATCCTAGAGAATATCGTAAAATCAAGAATACCCCAAGAAAGTCTTATGAGTGAGTATTGCTAGGCTCAAGGCCGTCAATATTGAGCGACCCTTTGGTTGATGATCAGTTGCTGTATACTCCACACTTTGTCCAGGCAATAATATCAATATAGACAAAACTATACACGTACGCACTTTTGGTTGAATAGCAAAACAATTAAACCTGCCGCCAGAAAAAAGTTAAAGCGTCCCCGGGAAGGCTCGAACTTCCAACCTCTCGATTAACAGTCGAACGCGCTAACCAATTGCGCCACGGAGACCCACTGTGGGAGACATCTGATAAATATTATGACTTATAGTGAAATTCTAGTATATAGGTCTAGGGCTTATATAGGTATATACTAGCAGATATCTCTATTATATATTTATATAAGTAGACCTAGCTATACTCTATATAGCCTATAGATAATTATATTATTAGCTAGATACTATATATATATAGATAAGTAGTATCTACAAAGGCGGTCCAAAAGTTTGAAGACATCGCGCTATTTTTTAGCGCGATTTTTGTGTTAACCCCCACCTATCTTCTTTAACTACCCCCTACACCACCAATATACGTCGTTTTAGCACTGAAATAAGTGGTAATCAAAGGCTAGGGGGGTAAGCTTTTATCTGAGGCCCGTGCAGCTATTATATACGCTTATAAATGTGGTGTATTGCCTACTAAAATAACTGCTGAGTTTAACGTTGTATACTTAATAATATACTCTATAATCAAACGATTCTGAGAATACTAAATACTTAAATCCCTACCTTATTTAGGTACCCCTAAAGTCTATAGGTACTCTACTATTAAATATATCTGTTTACTTATATACTGTAAGCCTTAGCCAAGCCTTAGCCAAGCCTTAGTAAGCTAAGCGCCTGTATACCTAGTTATCTATCTTAATCAATAACTAAGTAATTCCTACATTTAAAATTCCTCTGGTACTATTAAGTAAGGACATTATATCCTAATTTTAAGAGAGAATGTCTATAAAAGAGTCTGATTTTACTGAAATTAGAGAGCTAAACGCTATAATTCCTAACTATAAAGCTTTATCTTTTCTGACAAATACAGTATTTAGCGTATTTCTAATTTAAATATCTAATATGTTATCCAGCTTAGAGGAGAAGCTTACCGATAGAGAATAATATAAGTTAAGGTTTATATAAAGGATATTTATTAAATAGTTTAGGCTAGAATATAGCTCAGAGGGTATACAAAACTTATAATTATAGAGTATAACTTTTCAGAAGGACAGTAAGGTTGTAGAGATAGTTATATAATAAAATCCTACCTAAAAAAGTGCTTAAAGAAGGGTTTATTAAATACTATAAACCTAGAACTATATTTCAGTAAGATAACGCTAAAATCTACCACTCCTATATTACTGTCACAGGATTCTGAGTATACAACACCTCAGACACTCAACACTAATCCGAAGCCGAATCCCCTTTGAGTTACCTGTATATCAAGGCCTACCCGAACCCTAATATATTTAAGATCCTACAAGTATTCAGGATTCTTGATCTCTTTAAGAATCAGTCTGTGTATTAACTGTCTAATCTGATCTCTACTATCTGATATCCTTGCCTAGTCACAGGTCTCTAGCCTGACAACTTAGTAACCATTACATTAGTATTACTAGCAGTAGTAGTATTTTTTATTAATTTTATTCCTAGTTCTCTAGGTATATCCTTAGTTTTGTATATATTATTATTATATATATTGAATTTTAATAATAGTTTATTAATATATTTTGTTTGATATATATATATAGCTTTTTAGCTTTATAGTTAATAGATATATTATTACCTAAAAATATAGTAATTTGACCTATTTCATCTAATTCAATAAATTTATTTATGTTGTTTTTTAAAACTTTTATATAGGATAGATCTTTATATAATACTAGTATATTATTAATGTAATATATTAGTATATAATTATCCTTTTTATTTATATATATTCCTTTGTCATATAGAAATACCTCAAAATCTAATAATTCTAGTACTAATTTAGGTATTGATACTATAGTCTAGGGGATTATTTTAACCTATATGATACCTTATTAAGTTTTATATATTTATTATTATATTAAGGATTATTATATAATCCTATTAGTAATATAGTATATATATTAGTATTTATATTAGTATAGCAGAAAGCATTTTTAACGTTATATTACTATATATATAGGTCTTTATTAACAGCTATTAATAATAGTATATACTATAATTCTGTTCGATATATTATTAAGAAGGTTTCTAGGAAGTCTATTCCTAATCTTTAATTAAAACCTTATATAACCTATCTAGCTTTATATCTAATAGTATTATTACTATTAGTAATATAACTAGTATTATTGGCTGTTCTACTTATAGTAGGTTTTATCTTAAAAACCTATTAGCTATTTATAGGGGTTATATTATTAGGTATATTAATAATATCTTAGCTTCTTTAGCTAATTAAAGTATTATTTTTAGCTATATAAGCCTTATACTAGTATAGGCTATCAGGGCCTTCTAGGGCCTATTTTAGAGTATTAGGTTTCTTTATAGTAGTTATAGTTAAAACAAAGTTTAATATACTACTATATATAGGTCTGTATATAGCTTCTACTGCTATATTAGACAGAGTATAGAGTATATTATTATTATTATTATTATTGTTATTATAGTATATATTATTTTTTATTGGTATTTAGACTTTAATTTTATAAGAGAGATCTTCTGCTATTTTAATATATTCCTTTACTCTTATATTCATCTTATGTATTAAGGGTTTAGTAACCCTAATATTATTATTTAGATATATATTTGTTATATTACCCTTAATACTATTAAAGTTATAGTATTTGTTTTCTAGGATTATAATATCCTTTAATATTATTTTAGTTCTTTTATTAGGTATATAAAGCTTATAGTAGCTATAATCAGTATAGTCTACTAATATAGTTTTTCTCTATCTAGGTTCTAGCTTAGTTATTTATTTATTAATAGTATAATAAGCAGTAGAACCCTATATTTTTAATTAGTTATATATATTAATAGAGGGCTTTATTTTATTATATAACTTATAGGGTATTTTAAAACCTAGAGTACTGTATAGTATCTTATTATATAAATAGGTAGCTACTAATATAGCTTTACCCTATAGGTATTTAGGATAATTACTATTAGCTAGTATTACTCTTACCTTATTTAATAAGATAAGATTTATATACTTTATTAGGCTATTAGACTCTATTATATAAGTAGGATTAGTATTATATATAATACTATATTTATTTATTATATTTTTTGTTAGCTTATTAATATATTCTTTACTATTATTAGTAAATAACTATTTTATATTTATACTAATTTAGTTATTTATTAAGGCTTTTACTCTTTTTAAGGCTATTATAGCTTAGTTTTTGTTTTTTAATAATATAGTAAATAGATAGTAGATTTACTTATCTAGAAATATTATATAATATATATAGTTATTATATATTTTTAGTATTATAGGACTACCTATATTACTATATATTCTTTCTTCTCTTTTATAGAGAATAGTATTATTAGATCTTTTATTTATATATCTTTTTATCTTAGATTTTAGGTATATTATTATAGTTTTTAACTATTTTATATAGATATTTATCTAATATTTTTATATTTATAATATTACTTAGTATATATTTAAGGACTTTAGGACTAATATAGCCTAATCTTTTATATTAGTTATTTATCTCTATATCTTTATCTTCTAGATATAGTAGTTTATTTTAATATTTTATATTAAATATCTTATTAGGGTATAGTATATTAGTATTAGATTTATATAGGGTATCTTTATATTCGTTTATTATTAGTTTATTATTATTATATATATATATTATTTTCTTTAAAAATAGATATATCTTTTAGTCTATTAGTGCTTAGTATATTAATACCTAATTTAGGTATATATAGTACGTTATATATTATATATATAGTTTAGATTAGTCTGTATAATAACAGTTTCCTTATATTTTATTAGTATTTTTAATACTTTTCCCTAATTTACTGTTTTAGTTACTGCTTATTTATAATAAAAATAATTTAATTTATAATAATAGAGACAGTAGTAGTAGTATTAATAATAAAATTATAAATAGGTCTAATCTAATAGGGTAGTTTATCTAGATAATCTTTATTATTTATAAGTATATTTTTATTATTTTTAGGGGTATTATTAAGATCTAATAGAAGATTAATTAATATCCTAAATAGATATAGTATTAAAATTATCTAAATTAGATAGAATAGTATTAATAATAGTAACTTAATTATTATTTTATAAATTTTTATTTTTATTATTTTTATTTATATTATTTATAGTATTTATATTAATTAATTTCTACTAATCTAGATACTTATTAGAATATAAAAAATAATAATTATTAATATTATAATTAGTTTTATAATAATTTTTATAGAACCTACCTTTATAAGGCTGTTTTTTCTATAGTTTTTTTAGTAATTTTATTTATATTATTTTTATTAAAGAAGGAATTATTAATACTATAAATAGTATTATCTTCTTTACTATATAATTTATTAATAAGGGATTTTATTAATAAATTAATAGTATAAATTTTAGAATTATTATATAGAGATTATATAATATTCTGTATAAATTCTAAATAATCTTTATCTAGACTATTTAAAATCTAGGTAATAACTATCTAATTAGATAGTATAATCTCCTTAGATTTTAGATTACTAATATATAGTTTTACCTT